ACTAATGTAATATATAAAGGAATCAACAATAACAAGGAGCTATATATAAAAATGCACATACTACTGTAGTATATAAAGAAATCAACAACAATCAGGAACTATATACAGTACTGTGCAAAAGTTTTAGACAGATGTGAAAAAATGCTTTCAGATATAAAAGTGTTTAGTTTATTTTTATCAATTAACAAAATGGAAAGTAAATCATCTGTGGATGTCGGCTGCCTCAAATCCTTCTGTTTCTTCATGTAGTCCCAGACAGACTCGATAATCTTGAGATCTGGACTCTGTGGGGGCCAAACCATCACTTACGAGACTCATTCTTTTTTATCCTGAAAATAGTTCCTAAATAAATTTGCAGCCAATCACAAGCCTCCCTGATGGTATGGCATGATGGATAAGTATCTGTTTGTATTTCTCAGCATTGAGGACACTATTGATCCTGGCCAAATCTCTAACTCCATTGGTAGAAATGCAGCCCCAGACTTGAAGGGAACCTCCACCATGCTTCATTGTTGCCTGCAGACACTCATTATTGTACCGCTCTCCAGCCCTACAGCAAACAAACTACCTCCTGGTACAGCCAAATATTTAAAGTTTTGACTCATCAGTTCAGAGCACCTGCTGCCATTTTTCTGTACCCCAGTTCCTATGTTTTCTTTCATAGTTGAGTCGCTTAGCCTTGTTCCCACCTCCGAAGTATGGCTTTTTAGCCGCAATTCTTTCATGAAGACCACTTCTGGCCCGACTTCTCTTGGACAGTAGATGGGGTCGCACTGGTTTCCAGCAGTTGCTGGACATCTTCCGATGTCGAAGGGAAGTAAGCATGATGTGTCTTTTATCTGCTACATTAAGTTTCCTTGGCCGACCACTATGTCTACGGTCCTCAATGTACACATCTTGAAACCCCAGCCTGCTTCGAAATCTTTACCCGGGAGAGGCCTTGCTGATCCAGTATAACTACCTTGTGTCTTTATGCTATGCTCAGCCTTGCCATGGTGTATGACCTGTGACATGAAAATGTCCTCACCCAGTTTAAAGCCTCGAAAGCTGGCCACAGACCTTACAACCATCGACTTTTGTCTTGTGATGGTTGTAAGGTAATTTAAAAAAACGTACGTTCATCTTGGACAGGCAGATCGTACTTGCGATAATCGCAAGTCCGCCCGCTGAGGGGCGGGCTTCCGATGACCGCAATGCTGCTTGCGCACACCGACCCGTGCGGCATTTATCTTACGAACATGCCACACACCCGCCGACAATCGTACGATTGTCGGAGGGTTTTCAAACATGTTCCTAAGATAAAAGTCGTTGCACGCCTTCTACACACCTTGCGATAATCGTACGATCGCGATTTCCCGCGATTATTGTACAATTATCGCAAGGTGTGTGGGCACCTTTACACAGCTGTTTCAGTTAATGACTGTTTCAACCTACATATGAAATTGACGATCATTAGCACCTGCTTGGTATGAATGGTTAATCATTCACCTGACTCTAATCCAAAAGAATCCCTGACTTTGTGCAAGTATAAGAATTCATGCTAGTTTGAAGACAAAGAGTAGTCACACCAAATATTGATTTGATCTAGATTTGTCTTCTGTTCACTCACTTTGCATTTTGTAAATTGATAAAAATAAACAACAAAAATATATATTTTTAAAAGCATTCTTCTGTACGGGATTTTTTCACATCTGCCTAAACCTTTTCCACAGTAGTGTGTGTGTTATATATATATATATATATATTTTATAAAAAACAGTCTATAATTCAGGCACCACAGCTGTAATACAGTTTTGAGCCGGCATTCTCACCTGAGCTAAGTGTATTTTATGTTTGGTTTTTTTTGCAAGTTTTTCAGGGGGTTTTGAGACTTGAGCATTTTTAGTTTAGCCAATGGAAAGCGAGTTACTATGAGGTGGAGATGATTTATTAGGTGCAAAATCATGTAAAAAACAAATGTGCATTTTTCAGGCGCTCACATTGATGTCTATGGTGACAAAAACACACGATTGTGACTGAAAAGAGCTTGTGTACTTTTTTTTTCAGATCTAAGCTATAAGCAACAGGCAACACAGCACAGCACTTTGGGAAACGTGACAAAATGTTCAGGTGGAAATGGGGGCTTGGCGACAATGTGCCTGCTTTTTTTTCTGAGAAGCTTCCATGCAGTACCCAGAACATTTATTTGGGTGTTCCAGTGACCATTCACTGATGACTAAGACAAGAGTCCACAAAGAATACCCGAGGTTCTTTTTAAAAACAGTATAGTGCTTCATGTATGTTCTGCCTACATAAGTACTAAATAAGAAAAGCCCTTCGTTTTAACTTTTTAATCATCTCCTCTTCACACTATGTACGTCTTCTATATGTCTTAAGGATAGTCATTGACAAGTAGATGCTTCCACCAGAATGGGTGTAAAGACTTCTGCATGTTGCTGGCAGTGGCCATAACCACTTCTCCTGCAACAGACTTAAGCAAGCTCTTTTAATGAATAACAGCAATCACCAGGATCACATTTGAAGGGCATGCAGGATCAGGCCTTGACAAAGAAGTACTACATGCACTTGAAACGTGACGTTAGCCACTGCTGTTAAACGTAACACAGAGAGCTGGCCTTCTCTCATACTATATTACAAGAGGCAACACCACTGCCCGTGCATCCCTGAAACCACAAGGTGAGAGGCATGTGTGCGGGATGGACATACCTTCTACATAGAATGAATCAGCACACACATGATTAACAACTTTCTTTTTTCATCTCAGTGGAAAAACTTTAGGATCAGCTACAGTGTCACAGTAATTTTCCAGTAAGTCTGAAAAGTGTCTGTTACAGTTTGCATATGTACTGAATATGAAGAGGAGTTTAAAGCTCAAACAAGCTCAGCAACTATACATCAGTACATGACTGCTGGTCATACACTTGCTATATTCACTGCACCATCTAGGGGCTAAATAGGACACATACAGCACATTTATGTTGGAAATCAGGAGATGCAGAATTTCATATATTTATGTACAACGAACATGAGGAGTGATTTTTTTATTATGTTGTACTCATTAAACCTGTGTGGGTTTCAAAAGCAAAGATGGACATACACTTGGCAATTTTGGAAGCCAGTGGGAAAAAAAATAACTGAACAGTCCAAAGCAATCTGCCACTCATGGTTGACACTATTTCTTGGTTTTTTGAAAATGCAAAAGAATTTCATTGCAAACAGCGTTAGGCCGGCATTGTTGTGGTTGCTATGTATTTCCTCCATGGTTTTGGTCATTTGGTGGCTCAGAACTGGGAATCCAAAAGATGATGGAAAGCTTTGAATATTGCCAAGTGTATGACTGTACAAGTGTTGATGTTTCTCTAAAGCAGAAGGCGATTCTAGGAGTTCTACAGATATGATGTCTGGGTTCAAAGCCTAAAAGAGAAGTAAAGCCAATCCTTTTATTTAGCTTTACTTGTCTTGTGGGTCTCAGCAGTACATTTACTAATGTGCTCTTGTGAGCCAAAGTCAGCAGATAGCAGGCTAAGTCAGCTGACCTCTGCAGAGCTGCACCACAGCCAGGAAGGTTCCCGACAATGTTGTTGGGATCCACCCCGGCTGCCTACGTGACAGCGGGCTCTGCCTCACTTATCACTTTTGAAGTACTTAATAGAAGTAAGTAAGATGTATCTTTCCAGGATTTTCCAAGTACTGAAACACTAAACAGGGACATTTTGGGAAAAAACTGACCCATTAAGGTAATAGATGACAGATTCTCTTTAAAAAAAAAAAAAAAAAAAAGAAGTTGTATGCTCACCATTGTCCTGCTTTAAAAGTAAATTCACTGTTTTCTACAGACAGCCGCACTCTTTTCACAGTAGCAGACTCACTGGTAATCCCGCAAACTTTTGCCGGGGAAATAACCTGCAAGATGAAGTAAGTGAATTGTTAATCATATTGTCTAGGACATAAAAGCCTAAGACATTAAAACACTCCATTAGTAAATCTGTGAAGAATGGCCATACCTGTGCACTTTAATCCTGACATGTAAAACTGAGGTGATAACCTTCGTAATACAATGACTGTGAGGTTCCTATTATAGTTATTGTACTCACTGGTATAACAAGATACATGGTAGGTAGGACAGATCTTTTATTTACCACAATACACAAAAATGTAATTCTTTGTGTCTTCATATATGCTAATTGTCTTCAAATTGTCCTCTTTGCGCTTTACTGAGATCTGTGAGGGACTAAATATTTTATATTAACAGATGGCCTTACATTTGACTCTAGAATACTTGGGTACACAGAGGAGTTAATGGCGGACTCAATGACTGCAAGGTGCCCAGGTCCTGTGGTTGCAAAACAAGCCCGAATCATCATCCCCCCATCACCATGCTTTAACTTTAACATGCTAACTGAGTCCTGCAGAGTTTAAAGGTGCCCATACACCTTTCGACCATTGCAAGACTTTTGTCTTGCGATGGTCGTAAGCTTATTAAAAGCTTGTACGATCTGCCCATCTTGGACGGGCAGATCGTACTTGCGATCATCGAAAGCCCGCCCCGCTGAGGGGCGGGCTTCCGATGACCGCAGTGAGGGGCGGGCTTACGAGCACTGCAAACGGGCAGTGTGCGCGTGCGCACACCGGCCTGTTCGACACTTGTCGAACAAGCAGGCCACTAACCATTCTCGGCGGGTTTTCAAGCCTGCTTGTTCGACGGAAGACGTGCGACCATACAGTAGGAATGGTCGCACGCCTTCCATACACTGTACGATTATCGTACGATCGCGGGATTTCCCGCGATTCTCGTACAAGAAATCGTACAGTGTATGGGCACCTTTAGATGTAACTTTTAGAGGTTTTTTTTGCAATTTCTCTGAGCGTTGCATTGTCTGACCTTGGGGTGAATTTGCTGGTCCTGCTCCTGGTGAGATTGGCCACTGTCTTGAATGTTTTCCCACTTGTGAATAATCTTCCTCACTATAAAAATGATGAACCTTAAATTGTTTGGAAATGGGATTCTAACCCTTCCCAGATTCATGAGCAGCAACATTAGCTTCTCTAAGATAATTGCTGATGTCTTGCCACCTTGGCATTGTATTAAACACATACCTGAATGTTCCAGGCCAGCAAACTTCTAAGGGCTAGTTCACACCATATGCAGTGCGTTCTGGTCCGATTCTGGCCGGAAAGCACTGCATCGCATTTTTTGCTGGGCTGGAGGGGGCCGCAATGCGATCGCCTGCAGGGGATCGCAAGGCACATTGTGTCTGCAGTGCGGTCCGATCAAAATGCCGCAAGCACTATTTTGATCGCACCGGGCCGCACTGCAGGCACAATGTGCCTTGTGATCCCGTGCGGGCGATCGCATTGCGGCCGGAGGGCGTGGCTACGGTGCCATTCACTTCAATGGCCCACCACGCCCCCTCCAGCCAGGCAAAAAAGTGAGCCGCCGCACTGCGAGGCACTGTGTTCCGGCTAGAATCTGAAAGGAACGCACTGCCTATGGTGTGAACTAACCCTAAAGGTGCCCATACACTGCTCGATTCTCGTACGAGAATCGGGCAAAATCCCGCGATCGTACGAGAATCGAGCAGTGTGAACTAAGACGTGCGACCGTTTCTACTGTACGGTCGCACGTCTTTTGTCGAGCCAACATGTTCGAAAACACGCCGAGAATCGTACGATTCTCGGCGGGTTTCTAGCCTGCTCGCCCGATAGCTGCGGAACGGGCCGGTGTGCGCATGCGCACACTGCCCGTTCTGCATTGCCGTCATCGGAAGCCCGCCCCTCAGCGGGGCGGGCTTTCGATGATCGCAAGTACGATCTGCCCGTCCAAGGTGGGCAGATCGTACGGGCTTTCAAGAAGCATACGGCCATCGCAAGACAAAAGTCTTGCGATGGTCGTAAGGTGTATGGGCACCTTTAAACTGGCTTTATTGAGGTGGTCACACTTGCTGATGATTAATTAATCAAGGACATTTGATTAGCAGCACCTGGCTGCTACTTAGCCTCTTAATTCCTATGGAAGCAGTAAGGGTCTACTTAGTTTTTCCACACATAACTTCCCCATTTTGGCTTTAGGTTTGTAAAATAAGGAATGACAAGGTGTAATATGGCATGTGTTGTTGTTCATCTGAAGTTGTACTGACCTAGTTTTAAAGACCTGCTAAGGACCAGATGATTTTTATTTTGCCCTGATACTTAAAACCATAGCAATGAAAGAGGGAGGGGGAGAGAGAGAAAGAGATTTGCATTTGTAAAGTGGGTACAATGGTGAGTCACCATTTTCCTCAATTCCGTGATGACTGTGCGTAAAAAAAAGTTAACATTTCTTTTTTTTTTAAAAGAGAAAAAAAAAAAATTATATATTTGATAGTGTCTCACCAGTCAGTCAAAAATTTCACCAGTCAGCATTACCGGACTATAGTCTTGCAATTTACAATTCGGGGACTGAGAGGAGATCAAAGGGAGTTCGTGTACTGAACTCCCTTTGATCTCCTGTCACAGAACCGTGCCGGTCAGACGAGCGGATTTTTCGAGATATATATATATATATATAGCAAGCTAGTACGTTGAGGCAGCTTTGGCACACTGCCCTAGTGTCATTGTTTTTTAATTTTTTTTCTTTTTTTTTTAACTTGATTGGTAGTGTACAATATGTACACTCCATTCAGGTCCCCTCACAGCTATGCAATGTACTGCCGTGCAGAGACCCACGTTGGCATCCATCGTTCTGCAAAAAAATAATGTAGCGTGCCTGTCTTGTTCTGCAGTGCAGCACACCGCCCATCTTACCCGTGTTGTGGTGTGAATGGGACATATGCTAAAGAATTGTTTCCTATGAGTCTTTGCGGGAATCTGGGTTGATCCGGTGCAGTAAAACACAGGTCACCACAGTATGTGTGATCAAGCCCTCTTAATTAAAAGAGCCAGTCGGATTTTTTAAAATTGATTATGTCCAGTAATCAATCTTAACTGGAAGCTCACAAAGCTCACATAATGGGAGTGAAAAAAAAATCTGTGCCACAGGGGATTATGGGAAGACACATAGCTAGAATAATTATAGTTGTAGTTACATTGATTGCTTACATATTCATTTAATGTATAGTAATCTCTATAACTTTCTAACTAACCATAGTATAAAAGTGAATGTTCTGTGTTATATAATATGGTCCAGACTTTGGCATCTTAGATCACTGGAGGTCCTGTTACAACGTGTTACGTTCTTTTGTTACACTTTGACTTGTGTATTGATTTGATTCTGTTTGGGAAACATAAATATCTGACATTAGCCATTATTACATGTAGTGGCGGTACTCATAACTAAAAGGGATATGTAATTGCATACAGCTGTGCTTGATTTGTGCTTTGTGCACAGTTTAGACCTGATGGTGATTGTTCCTGCAAGCTGAATGTTTTCACTCATGTGTGATGAAATCAGTGTGTTCTGTTGCGTGTTCCATATGCTGACAGTCCATGAAAGAAGACACACACTCAGCCATTCCCCTAACATAGAATACAAACACATTGACAAAACACCCACATGCTTTTCTGTTTTAGTATGATCATTCAATCTATTGTTTAATGGTCACCTTATTGTATACATGGCAGCACACTCAAGCAATATTCATGGCTTTATGGTTTCTTTTTGTGTGTTTATTATTTTTTTATATAACATCACATACCCACTTATCTGTGGAGCTTCTAGAGTACTCGATGTGTGTGTGTGTGTGTGTGTGTGTGTGTATATATACACAAAGACTGAAAGGAAACAATTCTTTACCATATGTCCCATTCACACCACAACACGGGTAAGATGGGCGGTGTGCTGCACTGCAGAACAAGACAGGCACGCTACATTATTTTTTTGCAGAACGATGGATGCCAACGTGGGTCTCTGCACGGCAGTACATTGCATAGCTGTGAGGGGACCTGAATGGAGTGTACATATTGTACACTACCAATCAAGTTAAAAAAAAAAGAAAAAAAATTAAAAAACAATGACACTAGGGCAGTGTGCCAAAGCTGCCTCAACGTACTAGCTTGTCTGCTTAAATGGAGCTTTTTAGCAGCCGGCCTAGTGTGAATGGGCCCTTAAAGTGTTTGTAAAGGCAAAAAGTCAAAATTTTAGAGTTGTCACTAAAGCAGGGGTGAGGGAAGTTCTTGCAACACGTGTTCTTGTAAGACCTTTCTATTATGGGAGTTCTGTAAACTTTAGAGAGATTTCCTATTGTGCCTCCAGCACAGGAAATGAAAGCAAGTCTCAGCAGTGGGACAGAAGCAGCAAAAAAAACCCCAAAAAATATACTCTCTAGAACTAGAAAAATAAAGTTGGCTTTGCATACACTTTAAATATGCTCTATAGGCTAAAACTCACCATCACCTGGTTTTACCAATCCTACAGCCCTAAAACAATAAGCAATCACAGAAGTTGTTTAACAGCCTACATTCATGAAGAGACTGCAGGCTTCATTCAGCTGTGGGCCTCATGATCGCTAAGATATTGGTCACATAACCTCTGCTAAAAGAGCTTGAATGGGGAGTAGGGTGACATTGCACAAGAGTCAGCAAATCAGTAGCAGTACCAGAAAACGGATTTTCACTTTTGTCTTTGACCATGTGACTTTAAGGACCTATCAGGCTTTCCGTACATATGAGAAAGAAGTTCAATGTATATTTTGGAGAATGATTTTATTCACAACCATGATTTTATTCACAGCCCTGGGTATGGCCCTTAGTAAGTTTGGATTTGACACCCCTGCTCTATATTATACAATGGAACCTGGGTTAGAAAATATGTTCATTTTGTTAATAATATGCTAAAGAACTAACTCTGCCCTAAACAGGTGCTGCAGTATTGCGTGGTTTCTGGCAAATTTAGTGGAATGCCAGCTTTCTATACTTCTCGGGAACTTGAGAAGAGAGATCTCCCTACCAAAATTTCCAGTTTTGGCCCAATACTATGATGGTGGATTTGACATAATCTAGAATAAACAGTAGCCAGGGATTACAGGTGTGAGAGCATGACAACTTGGTGAAGGCCTTTTGGCAGGGGGAGAGATCCAAACTACTGTGCGGAAATCTAAACAATGGAGTCTAACAAATACTCTGCAGGTAATTCAATATATTGCTACCCACACAAAAGCAAAAATGTTTGGGAGGAAATATAAAAAAGATAAAGTAAAAAAAAGGACAATGAAGCAAAGGCGTATGTTATGAACTATGAAGATGTCCACTCACCTCCTGCCTGAACTTGTTCGCTGTCCTCTCCAAGTGATCCGTCATCCTTTGTGATGTCATTTTCCTGCTATCATCAAATAAATCCACAGTCAGGAATTTAAATTAGTTCTTCGGTAATCAACAACAATCTCTGCATGTTTCCTTTTGTGGCAACTTAGAATTATTAAATAGCTGTCTCAGTTACAGTTTTATAGCACACCAGACCCACGAGCAGCAGAAACAATTCTGCTGTCAATACTGAACTACACGGTGTAGGGCTACTTACAAAAAGGACGGTGTTGTACAACAGAAACAAAATCTACTGTTTGAGAGTTCGATGAGCATCTCTATCCTAGAACAACAGAACTGCCATCACATCACTTTTCAAACAATATTTAATAGTGCTTGCAGACAGCTTACCCACCTATTCAGGGTACCAGAGCACAAAGCAGGAGCTCTCGACAGCAATGAGGCCAACTGACCAGTGAAAATTCCAGTAGTCCCTCTGAGCACTTGACAAGAGGTGGAAAATGCAACACACACACACACACACACACACACACACACACACACACATACACACTATATAAGCAGTTGATTTTTTATGTATTTATTTCTGTGCAAGCTTACAGCTGTAATGTATCAATTTTAAAGCTACACCTGCATTTGTTTAAGCTGGTTTCCCACCTTAGCGTATTGGAAACTCGCGTTTGCCGCGCGTTTCTTACTGTGCGGTTTTACAGCGATTTGCGGTAAAAGAAACGCGCGTCAAACGCGGGGGTATCCGGCTGTATCCTGATGGATACAGCGGGATACGGGCGTTAATACGCCCAAAAGAAACTCATGTGCTTCTTTGGGCGTACGGCGTTTTACCGAGCGATCGTACGCGCGGTAAAAACGCGCAGGTGAGAACCATGCCCATAGGCAAACATGGGTTTTCACCTGTTGCGCGTGGTAAAACGCTCAGGTGTGAACCGGGCCTTAAGGTGTGTTGGGTTAGTAGAATATAATGCCTCCTGCATATATTCCATGTTGTACAAAGAGAATAAACTGCCAGATTTCTTTATTTCTCTTGCAAAACATTCTCAAATTTAGTTAGGTACCAAACCAAACCAAAAACTGATCTGGAATTAATGCGATTAAATAATGGCATCTGCATACTGAGCTGCAAAATGCAATTTCAATTAAGAATTGTAATCTCCCCCCGCTAAGTACCACGGATTGCGAGCAAAAATGTGAAAGATGATTTTTAAAACAATTGCCTAAATGATGGCCGTGGAGTGGGACCATATCTATCTAAATCTGCATAGAGAACTGCTCGGCTATGAAAGTCTTGGACTGGTAACTATGCTGCTTATCTGAGATGGAGTATTAACTAAGGAACGTCTGTGCCATAGAGTTCTACAATTGCCAACAATATTTAATTAATACTTGGCATCTCTTTTTCTGGCAAACGCACAATGTTCATGCATGATCAGAAATCCTGGAGAAGTAGCCAAAAAACACACACAAACAAGAAACACTGTTCTGGAGAGACAATTTAATAACGCTATCTGGCAAAAAGGAGACTAGAACACCAGATACGACTTCATAATAAACTTTATAGCTTATGGGGGTTTTTTTATGATCTCTATTTAGAATCACTATTTATTGATGGCAATAATGTTAGGCAAATTGTACAAACATCACCCAAAAATACATAATTTGAGGTTATCTCCACTTGGTATTTCCTTGATTTCAAGAGATACCCCAGGCAAATAGTCCTGACATTTACACAACCCTGCACAAAGCACAGCCTGCCTGCTGACCTGACTTTTCTCTTCTATGGTTTTCAGTATAGACTAGTCACCTCCCTGCCCCCATCTGTAATTTGTAAGTGAAAGAGCTGCAGCAGCAGTCCACCCATCCGTCACTCTGCTCTTTCCTCCTGTCATAATGTTCACTGTCAGCAGATGTGCATGCAGCTTCCAGTTTTACCCCTCACGCCCCCAGTCTGAGGGCTGCTGTACCTGGGATTTCTTGAGGCTGTTACCAAGTAAAATTATGGAATTCACACAAACTGCATTATAAAAAAAAAACCCTAATAATAATATACTATTATTATTATTATTATTAATAATCAGGGCTTGAAAAATCCACTCGATGCGTAGCTTCCCGGCCAGCTGGGAGCTTTACATTCAAGCGATCGGGCGTCTCTGTATTAGCTGCCGGGAATGGCTTACCTTCCACATAATACATCTTCTTCCAAAAACTAAAAGGCACGGAATGGTTAGTTGCTATTCCCATAGCATATATTTTTCTGAATGTTATGTCTTCTCTGGTATTGAACCATCTGGACTGCAAAACCCTAGGTACTCCATAAGTCATTTTCATACTACTGGACATTCTCATAGCTGCCATTGCTTTTGAACTCTTGTCCAAATAGGAGACAAACTGACACCAAAGTCTGTATTTTGTTATTCTTAAGTGCACACTAGCATTCCTGAACTGACCCAAGACAAGGAAGTTGGAGGCCACTAGGTTACACGTTTGCAGAGTTAGCGGTTCCAAGAATACCACTCATAAATATCTGTTGAACATAATGCTGACCACAAATAAGTGATATGGAGGGGATTGCATTACATTCAACCAAACTTCAACTTTAAGTTAAACTTTAATGTGAACAATTTGGAATATCTACAACTAAAAGCTCAACTTGAGAGCAGACCCCCACCCCTTAGCTTCACTTTCACCAAGGGCCCGACTTCTAGGCTAAGCCTTCTTCTATGGCCTTCCATCTATGGCCACTAAACAAGTGTGTGTGTGTGTAGTGTGTGTGTGTGTGTGTGTGTGTGTGTGTGTGTGTGTGTGTGTGTGTGTGTGTGTGTGTGTGTGTGTGTGTTTATTGGGGAAGTCAGGGAAATGACAGAGGCTGACATACAAGACCTTTTCTAGCCAACAAAGGTAACAGTGGACATGCTGTGCTGTTTACTCTTGGTTACTTTGTGGAAAAGGGGAGGGTGGGGGGTTAGTTTCAAAAGCTGACAGGTTTACTTTAAATGCCCTAATTACAATCAGCTGAAACCTGATTGGCTACTACGGGTTACTGCGCTTCGCCTGAATGACCCCAATTGTCTTGTAATCAGGCTACATCAAGCCCTCAACTATAGACAGCACTACACGGGAAATTGGTCAGGAGATGATTACAGCACATGTTGAAGTAGCTCAAGAGAGAGTACTCTTCAATCACATTATTCCTCCTTGGCACAAATAATGAAATGGCCATTTGCTTGTCACAGAATGAGTTACTGTGTTGAATTTACAGGACTGCTCACAGAACTGGCTGTTCCCAGCTGTAATTCAGAATATCCAGCAATTAGTAAACCGGCACCAATGATTATGAGCATTAGTTACAGATTAGAAATGCAGCACACCTTCTAATTTACAACCTACAGAATGCTAGCGCTTCACTTTAGAGTAACACCGCCATTCAGCTCGGAGATGATTAACAATCAGCAACCACGGCATGATTCACTAATAACGCCGCCTGCTTTTCTTTTACACGATTCCCACAGCTAAATCAGAATCAAAGCAAGAGCCACATTTCACTCATTCACATTTTTTAGCAAAACTGGAGAGTGTTCTGTAATCAAAAGATAAATCTGATAAACTTCAACATGGTGTAATAAATCTAGTGGGATAGGTTTACAATGGAAGACAAAAGAAAAAAAATGACGAACTGTTTCTGCAAATGCTGAGGGCTAGTTCACACCCACCAAATTCAGGCCGGAACGCACTGGATCGCAATACGCACGGCTCACTTTGCTTTGGGGCGGGAGGCGGCATGGTGGTGCATTGATCTCAATGGCACCGCAGCCACGTCCTCCGGCCGCAGTGCGGTCAGCCGCACGGGAACGCATGGTACATTAGTACCTGCTTTCAGGTCCGGTGCAGTCAGAAAAAAATAGTGCAAGCACGCGCTATTTTTTCTGACTGCATCGGACCGGAACTCCGTTGCCGCTGGCGATCCCGAGCTCCGCTGTGCCGGACAAACTACAGTGTAGCCAAGCTGCGGTGCGAAGTGGAAGGTTGGGTTTTTTTTCCCTTTGCTTCACATCGCTTCGCCTGCAGTGTGTCACAGCCTTTAGAGGGAACAGGAGGGAAGTCTTTCTTAATGACACACCTTCCCTCATGAGAGTGACAGTGGCAGTTCAAATCAGAACATGTAAATCCTGTTTTTTAGCAATTTTCTTAATTTTAACGGTGAAATAACTGTTGCACTTTGCTATAGCGGTGCTTTGTAATATTGTTAATGGGTGGTTTGGCAGATTAAACTACGATCCTGTCAGGAGGATTGCAGATTATCACAAAGGATGTCATTGTGCAGCTCAGAATACATTCCCCACATTTCCGTCATCAATTGATCACTCATATAACTTATCTCAGCCTTTCACAGCTGTTACGTGAGATAAGTTTTCTTTTCGCAGGTTATTAAACAGCCTCTGTGCAGACGAGAAAAACAAAGAGATCTGCTGAGTAAAGTTAACTCGTGATAAAGCTAGTTTTATCACAGTTTATTAAACGTACACCTTAATCAGCATTTGAGAAAGCTTTTCACTTTAACCCCTTGCTGTCTGGCCAACTGAAAATAAACGGCCAGACAGCGGACGCTTAACAGCCGGTGATGGCTGTTTACATATAAACGTTTGGCGGCTATAGAGACACGCAAACGCTTGTATGTTACGTGGGAGTGTTGTCCTCATCCCACCATTGGCTATCTCCGGCTCCACTGTCCACCATGCAAGCTCGGGACTGGCACGGCTGGCCTGTACTCTTAGGCCCCGTTCCCACTGCGCGATATGCAAATCGCGCGTTTGTCGCGCGATTTGCATATTGCGCGATATAGCAAGATTTGCCGCGCGATATCGCGTTCAAGCTTGCATTGAGCAAGCTTGAATCGCGGCTAAATCCGCTCCAAAAAGGGTCCTGCTGTAGCGACACACGACCCGCAACAGCAGGACCCTTAGCCCCATTGAAATGCATTGGAGCGCGATATGGCGGGAATTACCGCGTGATAAATCGCTCAATGAGAACGGGGCTTAAGACTGGAGGGAGATCGGCACAGTCCCAGCGGCTGATCTCTGCCCCAATCACTGGACCCAGAAGTGATGTGCATTACATCACTTCCAGTGTCACAATCATTTCTCTCCGTCATTACTGCTTCATCAGCTACCACATAGGGGGCGTCTTAGCCCCATCTGCGATAGCAATAAAGTTATGTAAAAAATAAACATACAAAAAAATGTTTTACATTTTTTTATAAAGTCCCCCGCCCCCACGTACATGTGAATACAAACATGCATCAGGTGTGCCTACATGTGGAAAACGATTCCGCCACACGTTACAAATCACCGCAGCTGCGGAGTGAGAGCAATAGTTCTAGGGCTATCAATCACTAAACGGATGAGCAGTAAAAGCTTATACTGTAAAGCGTTGCCTATGGCCAATTTTGGGTATGGTAGTTTTCGGAGATTTGCTGGCACAGGCAATTTTAAGGCTTGACATGTTTCCTGATGCCACCCCATCTTTTATACCAAAAAATGTATGTTTCATAACACAACACAGGGAAACGTTTTTTTCCCCAACTTTTTTTATACAGTTGAAAATAAAACACCAGAAATACCCCTTTCTTTTGGTGTTAATTAATTTCGGTACAGTGTTGCATGACGCAACGTCAAAGTTCTGCAGCACTGAATACTAGTACTTGAGGGGGGGGCCCCAGAGAGCGCTGGTCCTGCCCCCCCCCCCATTGGCGGATGCATAGTCGCATGGGCCTACAAGTTTGTGAAGGGGGCGGGTTGGGTGCGGTCAGAGGGTATGGTGGTCAGGGCCGAGGTAAAATCTTGCACCAGGGCCCTTTGTTCCTTAGGTGCTACTAGATCCTCAGGTGCTACTGAGCAGTTGGTCACATGATCTTTGTTCTGATCCAGCTTTAGAATATATGTGCATATATAAAAGAAGTGATATATAGATCTGTCTGCTGGTCTGAATACATCATTGGAGGACATCTGTGAGTGATTGGAGCTGAGGGGCCCCTCCCCTTGTTAAGAAGGGATTTGCCTGATTTGACCTTTTGTTGGGATCTATCAATAAGGTGAGCACCACTATATCTGGTGTGGTGCATTTGGTGAAGGAACAAGAAATATTCATCACTATTGCTATATATGGACATTTTCACAGTTTTGAACATTTATAGACTTCACACCTGATCCATTTTTTTTTATTTACTGAGTCACTGATTACTGTTTTTTTTGTATTGCTCATTGTTGTAGCTCGGCACATTTAAATCTTCAATGTTTTGCTCAGCCTTTATCAGTTTAACAATGTGAGCACAGATATTGCTGCCACAGGAGAAGGGAGACTGAGCAGGGAGCTCACACACAGCAGGGATGTGAGAAAAAAGGGAGGGGGAAAGCAGGTGGGGGGCAGTACAACAAGCCATTCAACACTTCTGGAAGTGTCGGATCCTTAGAAATCTTTAAGCCCCATTTGAGTTTGGAGCAGTCTTGCGAATTTTTGTGAACAGATACATGCAGCGATTCCCTGCAGATGAACGCCCCTAGATACAAACCGTCTGCGTTCAGCCGCAGGTAATCACTGCATATCTGATTACATGCGAAAGGCCATGAGAGACTGCAGGCGCTGTCAGGTTTCATTACATTGTATAGCACTTCCCATCTGCAGGGGTTCACATGAGTCTCACGGAGGAATTAATGAGACTGTCCCAAAAGTAAGTATGAATGGGGACTTATTGTTTAGAAAAAAATTATAATTAAAAAATAATTGAAAAAACAAAAGAATTGTTTTGGAAAACAGACTAGTAAAGATGCGAGTACACATAATAAACAAAACCCCAAGTGTTTAAAAGTAAAGGTTATGTGTAGTTACATGGTCTCTTTAATGTATCAGTTGGTACGTATATTTCCATGTATAATTGGTGTATTTATCAATTATCAAGTGTTGCGTTAACACTTAATTGTGGTGAAGTTCAAGAGGACATAATGTGTTATATATGAATTCCTGTTGCATGTAGAGAGATATGAAACACTGCCTGGAATGCAGAGGTGTGTGCGTGTGCATACATTTCCTTCAAAGGGGGTGATTTATGAAAACTGGTTTGCTTTAGACATAGGTGGATCCCTACGCCAGATATTCCTCTCAGACTGTTTTGATTTTTGTTTCTGCTGATGGGGGATAAATTGGCAAGAAGAGGTGGATAGATATGTTCTGTTTTACAGAACTATTATATATTGTGTGTATGGCTTCTAGTGATCCCCTCCTACTACTTGACTATGCTAATGTGGAAGAATCTGAAATGCAAGTATATGCTGTACTGATTGTGCATCGTGTGCTATTTTAATTGTTTTATTCTACCTTGGAAAATTAATAAAATACTTTGAAAGAGAAAACTGGTTGTGTAGGCCACATCATCCAGTTAGGTGTTTGCTACCTGTTCTTTTATAATAAGCCACCAATCAGTTACAAGCATTTGATTAGGGAATGTCGATACAGAACACTTCTGTTCCATATAAATTGGAGGTATGTGTTTGAAATAACAAATCTGCAAAGGATGCTCGGACCTCATAGCAAATAAAAGATGACATTCTTGTTTATATTTAAAGTTGAAGTCCAGGCTGGAGAATATATTGCCATTGCAGTGGGTTACCCTCTGTACTGCAAGGGTTAAAGTGACACTAAACTCAGGAGTTAAATCTTAAAAATGCATTCAAGTACCGTAACTATTAACAAAATATACCTTCTTTGTGTATCACTCAGCTGTAGATTCTCAAATCATCTCTGAATTGGTGCTGACACTGTCCTTCCTTCTGGAGGGTGGCTACTTTTGTTCCCCATGGTCCCTGTGTGTGTTGTAAAGTAGCCACTGCTCCAAGCTCGTTCTCGTGATGGACTGCAATCTCAATACAACAAAATGTGAGATGATGATCTATCGGGGAGTGATCTTGGACCGGTGGTTACTTTATAACACAGCAATTTCTTCTAGAACCCATTCATACTAGTCCCTACAGTGAAATGTTGCATTTCAGCAGACAGACTAGTGCATTGTGACAGCTCCAGTAGTGTATATTGTATCAATGTGACCTGCAGTGGGATCCATTGCACTGCAATAATATGCACACCGCCCACTGCATTGTAGTGTAAATGGGAAACATAGAAAACAACTGTTTTCTATAGGTCCTAGAGGTGACCTGTGTTGATCCGGTGAGGCACACTATGTGTAATCAGGCCCTTATTTATCATCCCCTAGACAAAACGAGCAGTAGTGCAGAGGGGGACTACACTGCAAGGATAACTTTGCCTTCATCTTTAACCACATACCTATCTTGTTCCTGTCCATAGTTTGGTGGGCCATTATTTTTTCTCATCTTGTTCTGGGTCACTGGTGACCATAGCAATGCCTCTTCTTTCTGATAACCTACAGCTTTCTCATGTGAGTGCAGCAATGAATCCAGCTCTGCAGGTCATCAATAGGATTAGTGTGTGTACATTTAGTGATATAAAAAAAAAGAAATCTTCAAATGCTAGAATTATTATCCCCACATCACTCTGGATATAATGTCTACAGGTACCCTAATACAACAGTATTTTGGGCTCCTTCCTATCATGATCATTGCTGAAAGTCAAGATCCCAACAACAAAAAATTCTATTTTTCTATAACAAGAATGAATGTCATGGCTTCCTTTGTCAAATAGTATTTTAGCGTATTATGTGCAGTCAATTACAACTAACCTTTAGTCCAGGCTTGTCAGTCTTGAAAGGTCACAAATTAATCATGTTCACCACAGATCACGCTGACAAGAAGTACCTAAAATATGAGCAAAATGGAAAAGTTACTGAACAAGAAGTGTCTTCCAATACCCTATAACCAATTATAATGAAATGTTCATTTAAGTGTTGAAAGTGCCGATCAGATTCTACCAGCATAGAAGTGTCAGCTCAACGCTACAAAGCAAATATGGCTCAAGTAAATGGCCACTTCTCTTCCAGTCACTCCCTTGATTTTGTATGGAAAAGGTCATAGGGCTCATTTTTGTCTAGGTTCAAAAATAATAAAGTTATGCTCACCCTCATCCAAGCTGGTTTGCACTTAGAAAACTGCAGTGGTGGGGAAGGGACCAGTCTAAGAGCAAGCCATCTTGGAGAATCGGGTAAGTATAACTTTGTTAATTTGTAGACAAAAACAAGCACATGACCCTTGCAGTGCGGGGTAGACCCACTACAAGGTTCAAGAATACTTTTCTGTTCTGCTTTAGACCCCTTTCACACGTGCTGATCACAAGGTTTTCACACGGATCCTCTCCTGATCACAGCAGTACGGAGCGGATGTCACCGACTGTGACATCCATGTCCGTACAGTTTTTTCCTACACCTTGCGATGGAGAAAAAAAACAGAAGCTGCCGAACATAGACGAATGTTGGTCTAGGGGGAATCTGACATGTGTCTGTTTACATCAGATTACCCCCGATCCAGCACGACGAAATGGATCTCTGATCTGTCTGTTACTAAGGACTCGGCTAGAGACAGGGGGATAACCAGGTGTAAACGAACGCTCATTCGTTTACACACGGCTGCCTTTAGACTTGCATTAGGCATCCAATCAGGTTGCCTGAAAAACTGACAGGTGGACCCGATTGGACCGGCCATGTGAAAGGGGCCTTAAAGATGCACCTACGACTTTACAACCTAATGAGCCACCGGACACCAGAAATGCATAGACTGGCCAATAAAGACTAAAGCCCTGTAGATTGCGGTTTTTGTAGTCCATTTTGTGCAGCTGGAAGGGAGCATGCGGGAGCATGGAATAAGGTTAGTAGAAGGCTGGATTCACACAACGACCATTGCCTTTAGTTTGCATTGATGCACACTAAATGCACTTGAACTTAATTGCACAAATTGATTTGCGTTGACATCCTTTGTTTTAACGTATTGCATTGATGTGGAGGTTTTTTCATTCACAACAGGAATCAAACTTTAATTTTTTTTTCTATTGTCTTAGCTGACCTTAACAAACCCCAGCAAATCATGAATTGATTGGGAGGAGGTTGACGCCACCCGCAGCCCTTTGCATGGAATCGGACATGCAGCCATTACCTTCAGATGATCGTTACTTGGTGCAAGCAGTTTGAATCCAGGGCAATCATCTGTAGGTAACCACTGCATGTCTAAATATATGCAAATGGCGCTGTTAGCTGCCATTGCTTTGTATAACGCTGCCCAAAGCCATTTGCATGTAATCATTTTGTATAGTCATGCTGCGATCACCAAGAGATGATCGGCCCTGGACACAAACTGTTTGCATCCAGAAGTGAACATCCAAGGGAAATCGCCGCCTGTCCGACTACACGCAAATGTCTGTGGGCGCTGTCAGCCTCTCATTGCTTTATATAGTGCTTCCTGCTGCTGTTCACATAAACACCACTGAGTCTGCCCCCAAATGAAAGTGTGAATAGGGCCTAAAGAGCCTGCAGGTGATCGGCATCACTGAGATGTAACAAATGATAATAAAGGATGAACACAGTATTTATATAACAAAAAACACACAATTGTTTGATACACAATACTTTAACAAACTCAATTCATCCGGTTAGGGCTCACATTAAAGCACATCTCCACATCAATAAAAAAAATACGAGGATAGAGGGACAGTGGGATTTGCTAAGTTTCCACCAAGCTGCGTCTTCCCAGCTGTCAGGGACCTAAAAGTCCCACCATAACCCTGCCAGGCAGGACATGCTGACGTTCGTACAGCATCTTATGAACGCACAGACAGATAGAAGAGACACCGGAGACAACACTGACCTCTCAGCAGCTGTCATCGTGCCTTTCCAGTAACATGCCGGTTTACCGGCATCAGGTGACAAGATGACATTGGTGACTTCCGGGTTCGTGACGTCATCCCGTCGGCAGCCTCAAAACGCGGGGAGTGGCTGCAAAGTGTGTCACGTGACTGTGTCGTTCTCAACCCTGGAATTTAAGGGATGCATGTGTGTGTGATAGGTTGTGGGTTGAATCGTGTTGCTTCATGGGGTCTCGCATCTAACAATGTTTGTTATGCTTCCATAGCATAACAGACATGTTATGTACGTAGAAGATGCCAGCTTCGATCTAGTGCTAGTCCCTTTCTTTACCTGCACGGCTGAAGTGATGTTTGGTCTCACAGTTTACACTCCCTTTCTTTTTCCTGCTCAACTAAAGGGATTCCATGGATGCTTAATATCCCACCTCAGTCCTTTTTCTTTTCCTGGACAGCTAACGGGATTCCATGGATGCTTAATATCATAATTCATAGTCCATTACTTTTCCTACTCACCTAAAAGGGTCCTATGGATGCTTAACCTTACATCTCATGGTCCAATTGCCTACCTGCACAGCTAAAGGTGCGCCAGGGGTGCTTAATATGTTGCAACTAAGTAATGGTTGGATAACCGAAGACTATAGAAAGACAAGGCTGCCTGAAGAAAGTCAGCCACACACCGCCAACCTATAGTGTTTGCACCGGAATAATGTGTATGTTTTGTGCTTGCCTCGGTGCTAACACTACTTTACTTTTCTATGTAGAAAAAAAACGGTAACCAGGTATGCTTCCTGTTCTCTTTTTTAAAAAGAGAAAGTGTTATCTTTTTAGAACATTCTGTAAGTACCATTGCACTGCATTCATTATAGGCCTGAAAATTGATTACATACCCACCCACAATAGTCTTTTTTTCTGAAAGCAAGACCCCGTAAAATAAAATGTAGGCAGTGGCATTTTTTTTATGTCACACAATATTAGCACAACAGTTTATGCAACCCAAATTTTCCATTAAAATTGCAGTTAAATACATTTTAGTGCACACAAACACAATATAATACCCAATTATGTGGATAAATCTAAAAGATAAGGGTATGATAAGTAAATAGATACCAACCATGGCATGCCTCAAAATTGGTTGTGCCTGTGAAACAGCAAACAACTTTGGTACCCCAGATTGTCCATATGCGACCTGTACAGGACATCAATTTAGAGTGAACCATAAATAATGGCCATAGAATGAATGCTCTCACTCCGGTGTGTGTAACAATACCTAAAGTGCGGTACACATGTACTTGAGTTTGGATGTGGAGCGTACACATTGTACACTCCACATAAAGCTAAAAAACAACTGCTCTGGAAGTGTGCGATACAACACACACTGCTGGAGCTGCCACAATAGTCCGTCTGCTAAAACTCTGCCTATTGGATGCCAGACAAGTGTGCTCATAGTAAATCAGATGTCATCAGATGATGTCATCATCATCAGAGTTCTTTGTTGCAGAAGGGAAGTGAGGAGCTATGGTTGATGCGTTACACAAACCATGATAAGGCTAGGTGCACACCTAGGCGATTCAGATGCCAAGCTGTTTTCGCGCGTGTTCGATCGCGCGACTGTTCATTGAGGCTAGGTTCACACCTGCACTACACCGCAAGACACCTGGGATGCGCGTCCTGGGTGTCATGCGGTCCTGTACAATGCAGGCAGCGATTGTCGCGCGGCCCCATTGATTTCAATGGGGTTACTTCGCGTCTGGCAATCGCAGAAAAAAAGGTAGAAGTACTTTCTTTTTGCGATACAGTTCAGAAGCACAGGCGGAGTATTCTGCCCGGTGCGACTCCTGACTGTGCGGCTAGGTGTGAACCTAGCCTGAAAACCATGCGGTTATCAAAAGAGATGTCTATGGCAGTGCTCCCCAACGAACCGCACTGAGACTGTGCGGCCCGGTACCATTTGATCCGCGGACCGGTACCGGTCCGCGGACCGGGGGTTGGAGACCACTGGTCTATGGGACCCAAACCGTGCAACAACCACCCGAAAATCGCTCCTGCACCTTCTCGCACGACAGATGATTTCGTCCGCGCAACAAACTGCAAAGGTGTGAACAGACTCGATTGACTTTAAAGGAGAACTATGGGGTCAGGGCTTTTCCCCATAGTTCTCCTTAGGGTAACAGGAGGACACAAACTAGCATCCTCCCGTCACCCTAAGCTCAGTATATCGCGAGCTACAGCTCGTGGTATACTGAGACGCGACAGCCGGAGCGGATCCCGACATCGATGTCGAGATCCACCCAGCTGTGTGAGTGACAGCTGGCTCTGCCTATCTAGAGGCAGAGCCAGCTGTACCCGCCCCCTCCCCCGTCCAATCCGCCAGTCAGCGCTGGCGGATCGGAGCAGGGAGGGGGGAATCCAGCCCCTCCCCTGTCACGGCAGAGAGCCTTGACAGGATCGAGAGGTGAGCGAATGCCGGTATCTGTTCGCTCACCTCCCGATCTACTGAGCTGACCTGTGATAGTCTCATTGTCACAGGTCGGCTAGAACTATGAGGTGAGTGGAAATCACTCATCTCATAGTTCTCCTTTAATGTGAATATGACCCAATCCGCGTGATAAATCGCCTAGGTGTAAACCTAACCTGAATGTTATTTCTCAAGCACAGCTGCTCACTCACTTTATTATAGACGCATTGTTTCTCTTCTAGACTCTGTGCGGGAAATCAAAGGATTTCCTCCAAATTAGATTCTTCCTCTTCAACTATTCATAACAGGCATGCATAGAACCTCATTCAATGGTATTTGTAGGCTGTATTCTGTAACACCCACATCTTCGTGTTTGAGTATTTGTACAAGGATGTGGCATACAATTGTGGTATTTTCAGTACTTTTCGGTTCCTGTCTGGGCAATAATATAAGTATGAGGACAAGGCGGCATGAACTAAATTTTAGTTTTAATCATTTTTTTTTCTCATTGTCTTAGCTGACCTTAACAAACCCCAGCAAATCAAAGGGAAATTTGTGCCAGTCCAGATTTCATAGAGGAGAACATGTACAAATCAATGCTTCCACGTTTGTGCTTCCTAATAGGTACTAGCAAATGACATCTAATGTTCCACTCAGCAAGATCCATTATAGAATTTCAAAGAAAAAATAATGCACAACAAGAGAAAAGGCAATGGGCAGCATAGGAATAAAAAGTAAGAAAGTGTGAAAGAAATACACTAAACTATTTAAATTGGACTTTCACCCTCAAAGAAAAACTCCTGGCAGAACTTGTATTAACTCTTGCAGTGTGGCTACCCCTGCAATGAAAGGCTTCATTGGTCTTTTTTGCCTAGGGTTATAAAAAAGTTATACTCACCTGATCTTCCGAGACAGCTCCTGGACTGGTCCCTGGAGCACCACAAGGGTTAATAAAATGTATTTGTGCCCAGTGTAGTTCTTTAAATAAAAGTTTGCAGCATTCTAATCTCCCCCTTTTACTTTTTTATTTTATTTTAAAAGCTGAACATTCTTTATTTTTTTTTCCTGCTGGCCCTGCACCCCACTGCCATTTTCACTTAGGTGAGGAGGATGTTGCATTCTCCTCCTGCAGCCTCCTGGGATACCGACTTCACATGTCTCAGGATGCTGCAGGAGAATCCTTTGAATTCATGTAAACAGACCCAGCAACAGATCTTGCACATGTGCAGACAGAGATCTTTTGCCTTTTTACAATGTGCCCTAGGAATGGAGGAAAGTAATGCCTCCTGGGATAGGTGATGTTGGTATCCCAGGGGGCATTACTATTCTTCATTCATAGAACAATATGTAAATAGACATGGCATCAGATCTCTGTGTGAGATCTGGCACTGCATCATCGTGGGCCACCGGCATCCTCCATTCATAGAACAATATGTAAATAGACAAGGAGACAGATCTGTCTGCGAATGCGCAAGATCTATGGCTGCATCATCAGGCACCAGAAAGAGACAGCCAGCTCCCTGTGACATAAAGAAGAGGGAATGCCGCATGGGATGGGGCCTGTAGGAGGAAAGTGGTGAGAGAAAAGGACAACCCTGGATACACATGGGCTTGTGATTATGCTATTACAGCACAAGAACACCAAAGGTCTTCTGGGGATTTATTTTGTTTTTTTCTTAATTTGGGAGGACGAAGATCCAGTATAATTAATATATGAGCACTTAGGCACTAACAACAATAAATCCTACAGGGGTGCATCATGTGGTCTTTTGGCCGCATGTTGTACACCAGACTTTTAGAAAGTAGACTGCAACAGTAAGATCTCCCTGTCTTAGCTCCTTATTCTCCACCTAGCAATCTTGAACTTTTGGGAATATACATAAGTAAATGGGGAACCCTACCCACCTTTGGTTATCATCACTGTTGTTGTTACATCCTTTATAAGATAAAGTGAATGAACAATCAAACACAGAGAATCGCTTTTGTTGCAATCCAAAGACCCCCTCAGTACTTTATTCCAGCCGCTGGATGTCCCCAGACTCATTATTTTACCCACTTCCACTGAGCCCAGGTCATCCTGGACCTGCCCCAGGCTGTAAGCTCATCTCTCTGTCACTCTGCTTTCACTTCATGTCAGCACATGAACTGATTGGCTTCTTGTGCCACATCTTTCTCTCACATTTCAGCGTCGTAGGCACCTTGCAAGGCAAAGGAGCCACCCTAAGACAGGATATCAGGGCCAGTGCTCAGGGGACCAGCTGATTCTGCAGGAAGCTAAAACTTCTAAGCCTCAAGGAACAGCATTATTTGAAAAAGTAAAAAAAAAAAAAAAACGTTTAACTTTAATATCACGTTAAACACATATTCTACATCCAGTTTTAAATGAAAAGGGAGACCATACATACATATAGAAATTGGAGTGGAATTTATCAAGACTGGAGCAGACAAAATCTGGAGCAGTTATGCATGGTAACCAATCAGCTTTTCTCTTCAGTTTGGTCAGTTAAGGTTTGAAAATGAAATGGAGAAGCTGATTGGTTGTCATGCACAGCTGCTCCAGATTTTGTCCGCTCCAGTTTTGATAAATTCCCTTCATAGTATGCTTGGTGGTGAAATTAAGCAGGAGTAGTAACCACCTATCCCCTGTATTGTTTTACTAGGAGCTAATGTTCCAACATTCAAAGGGCGTCCTGCAAATAATCTGGAAGAAATGAGAATGGTTGTTATTCTTGGAAGCCTATGAGTGTAATGAGAGATTTTCTGATGCAGCGGAGTGAAGTGGAGCTTGCACCTCAGTGCATAATATGGGTAACACTGCAATTTATTTAGTATTCTAAGTTAAAAATGTAATTGTCATCGCTCTCAATGGCTTCTGGAGCTAGCTGTGAGAAATGGGGAAGTGAAGGGGAAGAGCACATCAAAGGAAAAAGAAAAATAGGCTTTTTAGTTGAGGACTGACAAGAGATTAATTTTCCTTCGTGATTAAATTAATTTTAAGTATGATATCCTAAAGTAATGAAAAACCTGCACAGCATTAAATATGTATACAGCGAATAATTCAGAAAGTTTGGAGTTTAAGTCAAAACCGTTATTGGCTAACTTCAATTATTAAAGCGGAATATAAATCCCCTACCGATGCTCCCTTGCCAGCACCAACATCTTCACCCAGCTTTTTTCCGGGTTTGGCCATCTCGATTGGCTGGGCTGGAATAATGTAACTCCCTCTTTTGCGCACAGGAGTTCATCCCGGCACCGAGGTGTGCTGAAAGTGATCAGTGAACTACAAAACTCAGTGTGCATTTTAAAGAAGAAGGCAGGTATGTTTATTTTAATGCAGAAGAGACATAGCATGTCTTGCAATGCAATCTTAAAAATGCATTCAAGCACCTTAACTATTAACAAAATATTGCTTCTTAGTGTATCAGTCAGCTGTAGATCCTCAAATCATCTCTGAATTGATGCTGACACTGTCCTTCTTTCTGGAGGGTGGCTACTTTTGTTCCCCATGGTCCCTGTGTGTGTTGTAAAGTAGCCACCTCTCCAATCTCAATACAAATTTGTAAACGAAACGTGAGATTGTAGTCCATCACAGGAGTAAGCTTGGAGTGGAGGCAACTTTACAACATACACAGGGACCATGGGGAACAAACTTAGCCACCCTCCAGAAGGAAGGACAGTGTCAGCACCAATTCAGAGATGATTTGAGAATCTACAGCTGAGTGATACACAAAGAAGCTATATTTTGTTAATAGTTACGGTACTTAAATGCATTTTTAAGATTTAACTCCTGAGTTTAGTGTCACTTTAAGTTGTGTAAACCTGACACCAACCTCAGCTAATAATGAAAAATGCATAAGCAGAGATTGCCTTTAGTGAAAACTGTGTGTCACATGATCAATGGATCCAGAGATGTAAGAGCTTAATATGCAAATCTTGACTTTTACTGCAAATGCTGAGTTTGGCTCTGCACACTTCCACCTTCTGAGCCTCCCTATTGGTCCTTTAATCTGATGCATATTTTCACTTGCTAATAGGGAAGGAAGCTTGAATTTAAAAAAAACAAGTCAAGATTTTTATGTCACTTTAGCTGCCAAAATCTCTGGATCTTCTGGTCCTTTTGACACGGTTGTGAACTTTAAGTGGATGTTCCGGTTTGTGTTTTGGTTTACTTTTTTTTTAAATGTTCAACCTTGATTTTCACTATTAGTGTAGTCAATGATAAGCATATCTAACCTATAAGGATGCACCAAAATTTCAGCAAAATGCCGAACATACCATAACGTCTGAAAATGCAGTGCATCTCTAGGCTTCTCTCCTCCGCCGCTGGACACTGATCTCTGTCCCCTACGATGCCCAATGCCCTCCCCAGAGGCACCTTAAGCACCCTTTAGGTCTTGTCTTGAAGTGTTGTATACAGATTGGTAACCCCCAACCATCCTGAAGGATTGTCCCATTAATGGTACCACATTTTCGGGTCACATCCCCTCAACATCCCTCAGACGTCCCACTGGCTGTCATCTCACCCTGGCTTTACCAGCCCTTTTAGCTGGTGGACAACTAGCTGATCAGTAGTATGTGGAATACATCTGGGCATGTTTTGGGTGCACAAAAATTCTGTCTGTTGGTAACATTCTCCCCTTACTTATTGTCCTGATGAGCACCATTACTGGGACAGATAGTAAGGGATCTCCCCTAAGTGGGGACACATAAAAACCTAAATGGCATTGTGTCCCTTTTGTATTCTACCCAAAAAGCATGTTTCATGCTAGTTGTCTTTTATTGCTGTCTGTGGTTCTAATACTTCCTCAACCTGACCAATACTTACAATTAAGCATTTTGACTCAAATTCCACTGTGATGTTACAGCAGACCCTCCCATTTAGATCTGTATTCAACTTTTCCAGACTGAGGTAAAAAAATGTTTTCAGGTATTCAAGAAAACTGCTTCATAAACGTTTGACTAGTATGATGCTCTTTAGTCAAGCATTTACCAGCTAAGACATCCATAGATATAGCAGCAGAGACATCTACAGGCTGCATGAATTTGCTACATGGCATAGAAGAAAAGTATTGGCCACACACAACACTTATGAATTTGTATTTTTTATTTGAAAATTGTTCATTTCTTGCCACATATTAGCCTGGTCTTATTCTTGATTTGATACTATGGGCTCATTCTGATTCTTAGTGAAGTTGTTCTTGTTACAATGTAATTACACATTTTTCAGATCAGATCCAGATTAAAGTGGTAGTAACATTAGAAAAAAAGGCAGACGGGTATAGTTTTTATGAATGAAGTGTGTCTGTATAACTCCTCACAATTGCTCCCGTCAGCATTTGTATGCACTGAGCTGCGCATACACACACAATCTCGGTGCAGTCCGGTGCCGAAATAAAGTAACTCCCTTGCACGTATGGGAGATGCATCATCCTGGTCAAGGAAAAAGACCAGGTGATGATGGAAGCGCCAATGGCAGAGGAGAACGCTGGTATCACAGTGCTGGAGGGGATCACATGCAATGCAGTATTTAACTACAAAATTAGGGATGCACTGATATTGGCTTTTCGGTATCAAGTACGAGTAATGATAATTTTTGGTACTCGCTAATACTGAATACCGATACCGGAAGTCCTATTAAGGATGCTAGGTGGTGTGTAATGGCTTGCTGCCCTGCTTCCTGATTAGCCGGGAAGCCGGGCGGCGTGTAATGACGTAATGACTCACCACCCGGCTTTCCGACCAGGTGACGAGGAAGCATAGAGCCGGCTTTCTGGCCATTTAGGAAGTTGGGGGGGGGAATGACTCGCTACCCAGCTTCTTGATTTGCCGGCTTCCCAACCAATCACCAAGCTGGGCAGCGAGTCATTACACGCAGTGCAGCTTCCTGATTGGTTGGGAAGCCGACTCCATGCTTTCTTGTCACCAAGGGATGAGGGAGCATGGAGTCGGCTACCCGGCCAATCAGGAAGCCGGGCAGCATGTAATGACACACCGCCCAGCTTCCTGATACTGGAAGTTCGGCACCGATACCGATACTAGTATCGGTGCATACCTAACAAAAAGCATTATTCTGCACTAAAACCTTTATCTTGTCTCTTAATTATCTTGCTTGCTCTTTTAAAAAGTAAGTATAATGGAAAAGCAATGGTGAAAAAAACAATTCTGGGCTTATCCAATCATTTTTGGCATATCAATTCCTAATGGTGTGCATAACTGGGGGGGGGGGCATGTTTATTGCCTAAATACATTGTGCTGAAAGGTGTCCCTCTTTCTCATCTCAATAGATTGGGAGGTATGCAACTGTAGCCAACTATTTTAAGTTTTGAGGCATATCTACAAAATATTAGACCTCTGGCATGCCGTCCAGCTTTTGGCAACTGATGATGTCCCTATTAGGTTGCTATGAGCTGGGCACAGGGATGTGTAAGAACCATACACGTCTCCCCACCTGGCTCTAAGTAACCTGGGGCGCTCTGGCTCTGGGGTAGCTGTGCGTGGTTAATATCGGCTCTGGGACCTTCAAGTCATTTAGTAAAAAGAATGTGTGTGATTATTTCTGTTAGGTCATGTTTTTATTTTGTTTTTGCAGAATTGTAAAAAAACAACCATATTTAACTTAACAGGTTATAAAACTTTATACAGTATTGTTATTCTTCAAACGTTTAGAAAAATAAATGTTAACTATGTTAAGTATGTTTTTTTTTTCTTGCCACCAGATGGCAGGAGAGAAGCATATTTTGTTTTATAATATATCGTACTTGGTTATCTTTTTCTGCTGCAGATGTACGTTTACATTTGGTGGCACTTATCTTGTTAGATGTAGGAGTCAAAGCTCCCATTTATACTTGAGCGTGAGCATTTTCAAGCCATTTTGATAACCCTTTTTTGCACGCTTTTTTTCATGTGTGTGTATGGTTTTTTTGGGTTTTTTTTTAACCATTTTCAGGCTTGTGTAGTTTTGTTTAGCCAATGGTAAGCTAGTTACCAGGTGGTGGAGACTGTTGTTAGGTGCATGATAAATGTGAATTATGTGTGTTTTGCAGGTGCTCCTATTGAAGTCTACGGGGCCCAAAATGAAGCTCAGGTGTATTTTAAAAGCTTGAGGCTTCATTCAACACAATGCTCATGTGTGAAAGGGCACCATTGAAAATATTGGGATTCTTCATGGGGCTTAAAATGAACAACGACTAAAATTATGCACTGGACCCCAAAACTTTTCTTGTGGCTAGGAAGCCAGCTCTGACATTAACTCAACTTTGGGAACAAATAGCAATTGACTGAAAACAAACCCAACACATTTGATTGTCTTTTCCCCCCAAAAAATGGTCCCCAGAGGTGTAGTGAGGTACTCTTGAAGTAATGAGAGCACTAATAACTCCCTATTTGTACACCGTGCCCCCAGGGAACTGACTTCTGTAAAAAAAATAACAACAAGCTCCAGTAGACCAAAATTGTACTGCAGTTAGTCAAGTATCGGAACAGTCTGAACATGTATTTATATATTTATTACAGGTATTTTATACAGCACAGACAATTTATTCAGTGCTTTACATGCTGCACATTCATATCACTCCCTGCCCTCGAGGAGCTTACAATCTAATGTCCCTATCTCACACATGTATGGGGCTAATTTAGACAGGAGCCTAATAAGTATAAGTAAAGGATAACTTAATCCAAAACTTTTATTTTGGTAGAGAAGGATAAGGCCTTTTGTCTGGTTTTACTGCTGTCTGAGGCCCTGATGGTAAGATTTATCCTAACTCCCTGAGGAGAAATCTCAAAGATGTACACAAAAAGAAGTCAAAATACTCTGAGAGCAGGGGTAGGCAAACTCCGGCCCTTTAGCAGAGAAGACTGTATAGGCTACTTAACAGATATTTTAATATTGTGTCATCATTTTAAGTTTTGAGGCATATCTACAAAATATTAGACCTCTGGCATCCCGTCCAGCTTTTGGCAACTGATGATGTCACTATTAGGTTGCTATGAGCTGGGCACGGGGATGTGTAAGAATCATACACGTCTCCCCACCTGGCTTTTAGTAACCTGGGGCGCTCTGGCAGGTGTCCCGCGCAGCTCCTGGCAACCAGTCACTGAGGACACAGAGGGTAGAGCGGTGGGGAGAGAAGAAAAGTAATGTCTCCGTGGGCTGGTGAGCTTTTGCTGGCCCACGGATCTTTGTTCCCTCCAAGTGGAGCCCGGGGCATGTGCCATTTGTGCCAGAAAGTGGATATGCCATTGACTGAAGCCAAAACCTTTTTTTTAGTTTCAGATAGAGTAAAGAAGGGTTGGAACACCCCCTCTATTTGTCCTGGTGACCGTTATAACTAAAAGTAAGAGAAAATCCCACATTTTGGTTTGCCACCATAAAACGGAATAGATGGTAAATGTTCCAGTGGGGACACTAGTACTGGTGACCCTGCTGACCACCAGGATTTCCCTGAACATGAAGGGATTTCCTTTTACTTTTGGAGGGATTTAATTTTACTTTATTTGGGCCTATATGACAGGAAGTAAAGGGATTTCTCTGAAGTACAGTATATTTGCATTGCTATTGTGCAGAGAAGCATATGGAGCTACATGCTCCATTAGTAAGTTATCTTTTTCAAGAGTCTTTGTGAATCCAGTGACATTGATCCACAACTTTTATTTCTGCAGACTATGGTGGACTGTGGAAACTGTATGTAAAACATTTGCTTGAAATTCTGATTTTGTTTTTTCACGGTTCACATAAAACACTTGGTAGGAAAAGAGGTGAAAGTTGTAGCATCACTTAGGTCATGTGCTACAATATCATTAATGGCACAGTGGTTGGCACAGTGGTTAGCACTTCTGCCTTCAGCACAGGGGGTCCCTGGTTTGAATCCTGGTCAGGACACTATCTGCAAGGAGCTTGTGTGGGCTTCCTCTGGGCGCTCTGGTTTCTTCCCACACTACAGAGATATGCTGGAAGGTTAACTGGCTCGTGTGTGTGATAATAGAAAGCACAATGTTTAGAGCGCACTCCTGTAGGTCAGACACAACTCTGGAGATTAACTACTGGTGGGGTGCGAAACTCCTCATAACAGGGGGAGGGACCCTGTGCACCAAAAAAACAAACAGACTCTTCTTGGAGGAGCGCTACTACCTGGAATAACTTTTATGGGCAATGCATGTATCAAATACGAGCATAGAAAAACAATCATCTAGAATGGAAAGGATGTAGACTTACAGTTAGGATATGGGAAACTCTGCCCAAATCTTCACTTCTGAAAGGGGGGTGGAGGTTCACGGCTAAAAGGGGGGTGGAGGATTGCCAGCGAGACCATCGGACACCTCGAGACAGCAGCCTGACAGCATTGCCAATACATACGGCATCGGGTGCTCCAGCGCTGTTCGCGGCTTCTCGCTCTCTCCCTCACATTCTCCCTATCCCAGCTATCACGGCCCGGCCTGGCCAGCCGAGTACGTGAGCGGCTCCAATATTGCAGATATGTTCTAAGACCAGCTCAACATTTGACAACTTGAGGGATTTAGCCATTCAGCCCAGCCCCTTTTCAGCCACTCACCTCTTATCTGCCAGATAGAAGGACCTGACCATCACATCCTGAAGTGAAGATTTGGGCAGAGTCTCCCATATCCTAACTGTAAGTCTACATCCTTTCCATTCTAGATGATTGTTTTTCTATGCTCGTATTTGATACAAGCATTGCCCATAAAAGTTATTCCAGGTAGTAGCGCTCCTCCAAGAAGAGTCTGTTTGTTCGTGTGTGTGATAGTGACCTTCGATAGCAAGTTTCTTAAGGGCAAGGACTGATGTGAATGTGCAGTATGTAAAGCTTTGCTTAAATTGTTGGTGCTATGTAGATACCTGTAATAAATGAAATATGCCCCTGACCATGCCCTTACTGCATACCTCCCAACTGTCCCTCTTTTGCAACCAAATTACTCTGCCTCTCTTTCTTCCTCAGTTGTCCTTTTTTGTGGTACAGACATCAATGAAATGTTCTATTTAACTACCAAAAATTTTATTCTGCACTAAAACCTTTATTTTACCTCTTAGTTATCTTGTTTGCTATTTTAAAAAGCCAGTCCAAAGGAAAAGTAAGGGTAAAAAAGATAACGCTGGGTGTAACCAATCCTGGTTGCCTTGAGAAAGACAGACAGATTGTGACCTGTCGAAATGTCGGTACAATAAAACCTTTTAAGCGTTTACTCCTGTTTGAAGACCTCTGAGTGCCCACCGAGGCTTGTTTTTCTGGATTGTGTGCTTGTAGCCATTCTCTACATGGTACATTGTTTTCTACATAGTCAATAGAGTTAAACTTATATTTTAAACAGAACAATATTAATAGATGCTTCCCATATGCTTGTATACCATATTTAAATACTTACTGGAAAATTGCCTAGCGTTTCTACATTTGTAGCCCTTTATCCAGGGGCTAAACATAAAAAAAAAAACGGATTGCAACAATTGTAAGGTAGCTGTGAACTGCTCTGTGCATTGCCTCTAGTGACATTTACATTACTGTGCCTTAGAGTAGCCATTTACGTTCACAAGGGATTCCTATGTATAGCAATTGCCGAAAAAAGTGAAATATGGGGTTCTAAAAGGGCCAAGTAAAGAATAAAAAAAGATAATATAAAACATTAAGAAAGGACCAATTATATATTACAGGCAGGAAATGGGGAGAAGGCTATAAAAAGCTATTCCATAGACTAAATTGGGTTTCTTCTCGGATTCTAAAGAACTTTTAACATTGACTGTATGCACGTTAAGACTTACAGCATGTGGTAGGAACTCTGGAGCCCAGAGAAAGCCAGCCATGAAAAACATTCCCATGGCCTCGGTAACACTGATTTTAACAGTCTGGGCTTAAGAGTCTGCCAGTCAAAGGCTGATGTCTCATATATTCCAGTGAGGTGGGTGGCAAGCTTTGTTTTGGTGACAAGCTGTGGTTTTATGACTTGGCTAAGCAGTCCTAATTGTAGCTTTGCCAAATATAGGATTTGTGTGAGTTTGTGAAGTACTATGACCCCACTGCCATGGTTTTGGCCAGTTTTAAATAACCATTTCTCACAATGACCCTTGACATTTACAGTAAGCAAGATTTATAGATCTTAAGAAAAAGGAACTCATTTTCTTCTCTGCTTTTTTGCATGCGGTTATGCCAGGCACATTACTTCATGAGCTTATAGTGTAGGTGATTGAATCCAGAACAGAGGGGGAACACTAGTTCAGAAGTCGGGGTTAAAGCTCATATAAAGTATATAATCTTTGGGGCAATGTACTAAGAAAACATCTGTATGATGGCTGAGAGGGCCCTCTCTGTTCTAGTCAAACATCAACTTAGGCCCCGTTCACATATAGCGAATTGTCGCGCGATTTCCGCCGCGATATCGCGCATTTTTGCTGCGCGACATCGCGAGAGGTCGCCGGCCAATGTTATTCAATGGTGCTGTCTTAACTCCATGTCGCTCGTCGCTTGTCGCGGTCGCAAGTCGCTTCTACCGGACCCTTTTTTCGGCGGATTTTGCGCGATTTTGCTTTTTTTCTATGGAGCCCGACGGGGAAGGTCGCGCTACCGTCGCTGGATCGTCGCTGGAACGTCGCCCCGAAAGTCGCGCTATCCCGGCCGTGCGGATCCGCTGCAAAAGGTATGTCGCTAGGTGTGAATGGGGTCTTAGGCTCACATTTTTTTTAAAATTTCAGTTAAAAAAGTATTGAACTCTCAAACTTTTTTTTAATAACGAATTCAGATCAAACAAATATACATTGCTCAGCAAAGTATTTTCTTTACATGTTGCCCAAGCACTTACAGTCATCATGTTTCCAAATAGCTCCAACTCTCTCAGCTCAGCTTCCCTGAATTCCCTGCCCGTTACAAGATCACAAGGGGCAGGGCAGCCTCCAGCAGACATCCATCTACTAGCTTGGATAAGGGAGGAAGGAGGAGGGGAATGTCTTTCCTTACTGTGTTACTAGCACACACAAGGATGGCTCCATAGGACCCTGCAAGGGAAAGGAGGCACTCTAAAACAGGAAGTCAGGGACAGTGCTCAGAGGACCAGCTGATTCTGAAGGAAACTAAAACTTTTAAACATCAAGGAGCAACAACCATTGTAAGTGATTTCATCAGCATTTGAGAAAGCTTAAAAAGCTTTTGACTTTGGAAACAACAATGACTTTCACAAAGATTATTTTAGATTGGATTGGACTGACTTAGTCTAAAAGCAACCATCCACATGCGCATGTATGGCTTCCATAGATGAGACTGCATCTCACTGGCCCACAAGAGTGGGAGATTTCCATTATGCAGCTGAGCGGGCTATGTCTCTGGAGGATTACCAGCAGTAGCTGCTGACTATCGGCAGCCCTTTTCCACAATACAGACTGGGCAGGCTTTCATTTGTATATAAGACAACTTCCTCTGACAGAGGATTTACTTCCGATCTGGTGACATCACAGGATCTTCCTCTTCTTTAGTAGCAGGGGGGCGGCAACACTGAGTGCCACTCCCAAATGGCATGTGAGTGGCACTCACTCCAGTCCTGGAGTATTGTAAACCCAGCCTGCAAGGTGATTTGGGGTGTGTGATCGACAGGCTGTGCTGGGGGGGAGCACATTTTTTTTTTTTTAAAGGGATTCTGTGATATCTGATCTATAAAAGCTGCCTTTTTTTTTATATAGATATGTGGAGACTTTCATCTTGATCTGATCTTTACTAAGAGTAAGTCACTGCCCTGAAATAGACATGCAGCCAGTAAAGTCTGAAAAGGCTAAAATGGAGCAGGATGAGAGCTCTGGAACCAGCAATGACCATTTCCATATATCTCTCTTTTCTGTTTAATGGCAAATATTACTGTAATAGTAGGATTTAAACTTTTTATATTTATGGACACAGTCACTGCTTGACTTAAATAATCTCATCGCTGTAATATGTAATTATAAAAGTACATAGGTCAGCTTTTTTGTTCATTAAATCTGCATGCTCCATTTCATGTTTGCGGTGCTATACAACAGATATATTTTACTGCTTATTTTAATGCAAGTTAATGAGCCGGCATACTCTCATACAAACAGCAAAAATCAGTGCACACTTTGTGTGTCTAGTATCGCAAGGGTTAATAAGCAGGATGAGTAATTAGCACCAAGCCTCGAATAACTCATAGTGACTTACCAAAAAATTTTTTATATAATGATATAAATATGAAAGCGCAAGTATGTATGAATGTCAACGTCACAGGAAAAATTACTTTAACGTATATGGTGATATAATAACCAAAAATACACTACTTTCCCCTTAAAACATGTTTATTTAATATTTGTAACTGTTTGAATGTGGAAATCTTTACAGAATAAGGGCACTTTTAAATAAAATTCAGGTATCCTCCTTTTTTTCTCCCCTCCCTTGACCTAAACAATCCGCCCTCCGCAGATCTGTACTGTACTTACTGAGATCCGACGGGTGCAGTACTGCTATTGTTTACATCCAGCGCCGAAATGCTCCCTCGCTTGGCTGCACTAGCACATTACAGCCCCATAGACTTTCATGGGGCTGTCTCCCAGCTAGGAGGTGGACCCAGCACTGGATATCAACAAACAGAGGAGCAGCGGCCCTAATAAATCACTTTTATATTTTTATTTTCCAGATTGGATAGTAGGTCCTAGATATTTCAAAATAACATTTAGCTCCATGCCTCAAAGGTTATCTATCTGTTCCTACTATGTAGTCTCTTTCCGCTTCTTGTTCTATTCATATTGCAAAATTGAATTTAACAGAGTGAGATGCCCTTATAACAGTCACAGCAGGATCTGCACACTACAAAACTCTCATCGCTGGAGCCATCGAGACAGAAGATATTGGAAGATTTCTAAAACTAGGAATAAACAAGACACAGACAAGGCAGGCTGTGTGAACTGATGTTTGGCTACAGTACGCTTTTAAGAATAAGTTAACGCTTTATTATTATTTAAAATTTGCATCAGCAATTACAGGAAATACCAAATATACATTAAAACACTACTACAGGTTACAAAATAAAAGAAAACATTTGCATCATACAAGCTTTATGTTTACTTTCAATACAGTTGTATAAAATGCCAAATATTTGTATACAGTGTACTCTGTTAATAACTTTCTTATAGAAATTAGCATTTACATGTAAATCTTAAGCTTACATACAGTAAGTGCCCATCATTTGCTCATACTAGGCAAAGTAACAGCTTTACTTAGAATGAACATAATGTACATAAGGAGTTAGTATCTTCCCTGCACTACTTTGCTCCAGTCTGTCGCCATAGTGCCCAAGAAATACTTCTGAGTGTTGAGTAGCATGCAACATTTCTGCTGCCTCACCAAAATGCATTGTTCGGTGCCTGGACAGCCAAGTCGGTCCCAGTAGAAGAGGAAGCAAACTTAAATTGGAATCTTGGGCAGCGTGACAGTAGATTGGGGCGGTGGAGGAGCATTGGGTATATTAAGTAAAGCCTGCTTATGGTCCTTCCTGCACCTTTTTCTCCGCCTACTCCACTTTAAAGAAAAAGGTTCACTTTAAACATTCTGTATACGCTAAAATGGAGCTTAACGTGTAAAATGTAGTGATGTTCATTTAACCGCAGCACACCAGTATTTGCAGATAACCTGTGCAAAGTCTGTACAGGGTGGAACAAAAGCACAGTTGTTAACTTTTTAAATCACATTAGACATAATAAATCAAAAATCCAGCAGAGTAAATTGGATTCCTCTGCAACTGCCTGAACAGGTTAAAAAAGAGCTGAGAATGTATTTGCAGCAATCCTGACAGGGAAGTTCCATGAATGTATCCATAGATTTTACATAATGTTTCAATAACAGGAAGGAACACTACTTCCAAAGGTTTTTTTTTATTCATCACCCAGTTCACATACACATATATGCATTATGTTATTAAAGCCCAACCCCGGGCATCAGAAAAATACCCTTACATTGGGTGCCCCCCACCACTGCAAGGGTTAAATGCTCATTAGGTCCATGGGTTGAGTAACAAGGTGTAATATTTAACTTATTCCTTGCTCTGACAGGCTTCCTCCATCTGTGGGACTGGTCCCGAACAACCTCTTCAAGGCGCTTTTGGACGCAGTCTCACTCTGTTGTCATCGAGTACAATGCAGGGCTAATAGCCCTAGGCTTGTAGGTTAGGACGGCAAGGGACTGCCCACAACCCAGAGCGTCAGGGAGAAGAATGGAGGTGCTGAAAGCTGCCAAAATGAGGATTCAGGTAAGTAATACAGCCTACCCCTAACAAGCATTTAAACTTTGCATTGCATGGGGCCCCACTACAAGGGTAGTTTTTTTATCATCCTCAGAGTTCAGAAAGAATGAGCTACATTCTAAAAAGAATTCCAACATGGCTGATCTACTTTTCACGCAATAAAAGTACCCACAGGTTATGTGTTGCTACAGCCCTAATAGCGGGCCTTTGTTTCAGATCATGTTAGTATTACAGTGGAGTGGTGAGTATCTACATATAGCATAAGCCTGCAATATTTGACTAAAAACATATTGTAGCTGAAAAAAATCTTTTAGTGCAATAGTCTACAACATATTTACAATTTGTCTTAAATACATACGATTAGATGAAAGAAGCTTTACAAGTATTGTTTATGTTTGACGCTGTATACTTTTAACGGAAATGCCCATTGTATGTGTTAGGGCTTGTATCCACGGGCTTGTGTCCATGGCATCAGTTTGAGACGCTTATGAGATCATTCAGAATTTATTAAGGTGCATCGGACCTGCAGTTAATCTGCTTCTGATCTCCTTTTGACCTGCTTCAAGCAGGAATTGCGTTCCCATAGACTTGTATGAAAATGTAAATCCCACGTGAAATGAACAAAAGCCTGTCAATATAGTGAAACCAAAACCTTTTTATTTTTTACAACTCCCCCCTGGTAGTGCTCTTTTTACTCACATTGAACTTGTTACAGTCTGTTTGTCCATTTGTTTCATTGTGTTACTGATGGGATTAGCATAGCTGACTCTAGGTGTAAATGAGTAGATTACACTACGCTACACACTCAGGGGATAATCCCATCCCATTTGTTTTCCCTCTCCCTATTCTGTCATGAAGGCACCGGGGAAGAGATTGTTTGTTTGCTTGATCTTTTGATTGCGTTATGTTTTTAGACCACCGGAACTGTATAAATACTGTGCTGGTTTTCAATAAAGGAGAGTTTGTTTCACCCTTTTCACCCTACACTTGGTTTCGACTAGAGACTGGGTGGACTGGGAGCTAATGATCATCGGGTTGCAATATCCCCTGAGCAAGAAAGGGTACAAAGGCCGACATACTCATCCTGAGTACTGGAGTCCGTCACAAATGAGCACTGAGGCTGTTGTCAAAGCTCCAATGAAGCGGCATTGTTTGGCCCCCAAAACACGTTGGCTGTTTTCTGTTACCTTTTGTGATACCCCTGAATTATAAAATACAACTTTGGACTCGAGACATTTATCTGGCGCCCTTTTCTGATTTGCCTACCTGAGCATTTAAGACTTGACAAAGGATCTGACTCCCCCCAGTCTTCCTAATACTAAAAAAGTATTTGGATGGATTTCCAATTTGACAAGTAATAACACCTTTTGTAATGTTTTTAACAACCTTGCGTTTGAAGTCATTTTTATACACAGAATCTGCCATTTATACATAAAATCTACATGTAAGCCATTGTAATGCCCAAGAGTGCTATTTGAAATTAGATGCTGTAGGATTCCTTGCCATAGGAAAAGGGATAATCTTCTGGGTACAGCGCAATAATAAATAACATTACAGCAGTTTTCAGATTAAATAATATACAAACGTTCAGTTTACATCCTCACACTGGTATCATTTTCCAGGTCTGGTTTCCTTGGTTATTCTTACACAAGCTAAGGAAGAGAAAAGTCTTGCCAGTCTCTATGCTCACTGTTTCCACACACTTGCCTGTAGGAATGTGTATCAGTTGTCCAGCCTGCAAAAGTAAAAATCAAACTTTGCACTTAAGATACTGCTAAACAAAAGCAACATTTCAGAGACAGATTATGACTATAGAGAGAAGTTGTCTTTGTATCCTTCATCTGACACCTTTATATCCAAACACAATGCACAATGTTTATGGCGACGCATTCCTGAAACTGTCTAGCAGTCTGTTCACAAGACCCTGCAAGTGACTTTCTATCTAGCAACATTCTATTTGGAGTACTTGGAGCTTTTTAGTACACAAACATTTCCTGACCCTGACTATAATTCATCTGATATTATATAATTTCTAAATTCTGCTTTAACGTTGCCACTGTGGAAATCAGTATCTTCCTGGTCCTTACTCACTTCCTGGTTCCTGGTCCTTACTCACACCTCCAACACACACATTGCTCTTTCCACAGGGAGACCCGGTCACACACACACTGGCCTTTCCCCAGTCAGATCCCACATCCAGCACACACTCACATTGGTCTGTCCCCAGTGAGATTCCATCTCAGACACAAACACACACACACATTGGTTTTTACCCAGTGGGATCACACCTCCAACAAACACGCACGCACGCACACACACACTGCTTTTTCCCCAGGGAGATCCAATCTCAGGCACACACACACGTTGGTCTTTCCCCAGCGAGAGCCCACATTCAGCACACACATAGTTTTTTCCCATTGGGATCCCATATCAAGCACATACACATTGGCCTTATTCCAATGAGATCCCACCTTTAGCACGCACGCGCACACACACACTGATCTTTTCCCAGTGAGATCCCAACTGCAGCACACACACACATTGGACTTTTCCCAGTGAGATCCCACCTACAGACACAGACACACAGACACACACACACACACACACACACATTGGTCTTCCCCCAGTGAGATCCCAACTGCAACACACACACACACACACACACACACTAGGTTTTCCCCTGTAGCCCTCCTCCAGCAGACTCTTTAGTCTGCAGTCACACACTGCCACCACACCATTAGCCACCTCATGTGCATTTAGTCTTAAGCAGTCAGTGCCCAGCACATGTGTAATAACCCCTCAGCACATAGTCTCCAGTGCATGTGTGATAAATCCTTACATTTATTTAGTGCAGCAAGCCAAATATCAGTCTCATCTCCACTGACACTGACATTGGTCCAGTAGGAAAGCTTCACTGGCCTTTTTCTGGTTTCAACATTCCCAGCACTAAAGCTCTGCCTCATCTCCCATGTCCCCAGCACTAAAGCACTGCCTCATCTCCCATATCTCCAACACTAAAGCTCTGCCTCTTCTCCCATGTCCTCCACGCTAAAGATCTGCCTCATCTACCATATCCCCAGCACTAAAGCTCTGCCTCATCTCTCCTGTCCCAAGCACTAAAGCTCTGCATCATCTACTGTGTTCCCAATACTAAAGCCCTCCCCCTGCTCCCATGTCCCACCACTATCTTCACTGTTCCTGTACTCCATGACAATGGGGTCTATTCACTAAGCTGGCGTAGGCAGCAGAGTGAAAGACTGACCTGAAGTTCGCTGTTCGGCTATTCACTTCAGGCTGGTACGGCTGGTTTCAGCCGTATATCGGCTGAAATCAGCCGTACATCGGGTGGCTTCACGTGGCTTCGGGTCGGCCGAACATGCTCAGCATGTTCGGCCGACCAGAAGTGCAGGAGGAGTTCGACTCAGCCGATCCAACATCTGGATCGGCTAAGCCAAACCTCCGGCAGGCTACTCGCTGCTGTTCGGTCTATTCTTATAGATGCCGAACAGTAGTGAATGAATTGCCGAATGCCGCTGAGCGGCAGAACAGAAAAATAGTTAAAAAAGTAAAAAATAAATAAATAGAAAACGATTGTGCGGAGCTAGCAATGACAGCTAGCTCCGCCTAACCGTTTTCTATTGGCTGGCGGTTCTGCTGCCGTAAAAAAAAAAGAAAAAAAACTCTCCCGGGCGCTCTGGGAGTCTCCCGCTCCCGGCCGCCCAGGAGAGACACACTGCTTTTTCTTTTTTTTCTTTATTCTGACACGGAGCCGTGTCAGAATAGAAAAAAAAAGACATTTTTTTTGCCCATAGGAATGCATGGCTAGATTCCTATTGGCTATTTCAATTTGCAATAGCCAATTGTAAACTAGCATTGTACCCGCCCTCTGCTGATGGACCTGATGGAGAACAGCAGCAGCAACTGCTAGGGATACTTGGGCTTTAAACAAGTTGATTTGTCTAGCTTTAAAAACAGTGTTCTGTGTTCTAAAATAAAATTACAAAATGGTCAGAGGTGTGCAAGCTGTCATTCCATGTGCAGTTAATAGGAGCCGTAGGTAATAATCGGCAGCACGATGTACAACAATTGCCTGAGATCATACTCCTAAAACTTTAAAGTTCAAAAACCTTGTAAAAGGCTTTTATTGGGTTTCTACAGGGATGGTTAACAAGTCTGTAAAACTCTCACTCTGACATTTTATATTTAGTATTTCCAGAAAACAGAGGTTTTCTCAAAGCTGAATTCCTGGCAACAGACATGGCATATCTTAAACTCTATCAATGATCCTATTCAATGAAGCAAAAAGATTTTTTTCCCCTACCTTAATCCTTTCATAAGGATATTTTACATTTAAATCTATGTGGCATCATCACAGGGTCTCCATTGGAATTATTACTAGCTGGCGCTAGTGGGAGGAGCCTATATGTGTTTTCCTGTACTCATACGGTGCTCTGTCAGAGTTTTTTTGGGTGGGACTGTGGGTGGCTGCAAGGGTAGTACCAGGGGATCAGAGAACTCTGTTTCTGCTGCAGCACATTGCTCATAAGTATAATATTTCAATAGAGTATTTTCTGACGAGTGATTTCAGAATTCAGATAACTAAATTATGCTGTCAGTGTCAATTTAGGCAGCAGAACAAAGATTTTGTTTCTCCTTGCTCACCTTCCACCCAATGACAGGCACATTATAAGAATAATCAGCATTAACATGTGTCAGCATCACAAGTACAGGGGGCTGAGATTCTGAAGAGAGAAGAAGGGGAACGTGAGTAGCCAGACACAACTGCCATTGTCCATCAATTATCTCTATGCCCTTTAGCAGCTTTTGAGCTGCTTTAAATCGGCAGTAAACCGCCAACACTAATTTGAAATGTTGGACCCACAGGAGGTGTTTTGTGCTGGCATGCATAATATGGAAACTTGCTTTGCAGGTGATGCCCTCCAGCCCTGTGATGTCCACAATCTCGCCATCTACTCCTGGTCTTCTGGGTTCTGCATCTTTTTTGGCCTTTTGATGGGCTGGGCAGGGATGGTGATGATATGTATGAGCGCCTCAGTGCATACAAATGCTGACAGGCAGGGAGGAACGATTATGACAAAAGAGACATATATTGAGTTTTTTTCTGTCGTAAAAGACAACTTAAAGTAGTATTAAGGTCTTGGCGTTTTTTACCTTAATGCATTCACTGCATTAGGGTAAAAACAGCCCAGTACCTTTTTTCTGCCCCTGTCCCCCCCAGTCTCCCCACACTTACCTGTCAGCTGCGCTCGTCCCCGCCGCTGGGAGGAACTTCCGAGTTGTGGGGAGGATACTGATGGCAGAGGAGCCATAGGCTCCTTCTGCTATCAATCAATGAGGGAAGGGCTGTGTGTGTCTATGGACGCACACAGCCGATGCCGGCACGAGCGCGCACGGGTGCTACAACTAGAACGATGGTGGCAGCCGTACAAGGGGCGGGGGGAAGAGTATGGTGTGGACCCACTAAAAAACGAGGATTAAGGTACTTTTACAAAAAAAAAAAGCAACATCCTCCAGCAAAGGAGGGTCTATTTAAAGGAGAAATTTAAAAAAAATCTGGCTTTAATATCACTTTAACTGTCAGTGTATTTGAAAACAATAACTTTACTTCCACTTTAAGGGCCTATGTCTATAGGTTCCTGGGTTTGTGTCGATAGGCAAACGCAGCTTGTATTCTGCTAGCATTTGAAATAATTCAGAGTTCAAAAATAGGTGCATTTGATCTGCAGTTAACCTCTTTATCTACATCAACCTGCTTCAACATTTTATGGAGAGAAAATGCAATTCTGAAGCAAACAAAAGCCAGTTGACATAGTGCTGGAAAAATAACTGATGGGAATCAGATGTGGTAACTACTACTTTTCAACTTAAAATGTATTTTACTGAACTACAATTTTTCATATTTTATTATATATTATGGCATTAAGGAAACAATATCTGCAATTCTTTTATATACAGTATAATTTGTAAAGGTTATAGTTTGACATTTGAATACCTCATTGAAATCCCACATGGATGCTTCTTTCACAGAGCAATTTGTGACGACTATCTGGTCATACATTAGATCAAAGCAGAGTGACTCTGTGAAATTAGAACGGATCTTCTTATTGCGATACACAAATAGCTGCAAAGTAGAGATGTGTATTAATAAATCATTGCAGATCACTGCATGTCATATAAAATATAATCTGATATTTCTGGTATAACAAAGAACAGCTTGCAATATATTGATAGAAAATGTGAAAATTACAAGAGAGTAGCTGATTTCTGTTTGCAATGTTTATAGAACATGTCAAAAGACCATCTTTACAAGCCATGAAAGAAATGGCAGAGCTGCAGTTGGTGAAAATGACTGGTGACTGGCAGATATGCTGAGCCACTAACTTTAACACTTTCTAAGTCAGTGACCCAGAACAAGTATGTACATTAGAAAAACTAGAGAATTATCAAAAGCCTTCTTCTGCATACCTTTCACTGGAAACACCTGAACACAATCATTTGGAGGGGAGACCACATACATTTGGCCATATAGTGTATATGATAATACATTTTTATGTACACATAAAGTGCAAACTACATCATGCAGCGATAATTTAACAATTGCTGGGCTGCTGTCACGTTAACTGCTAAAAAGCCTGGAGTACTCCCATCACAACACAATGCAACCTTTAAGCAGCAGGGATTGTAGTCTACATACATGATTTATTTCATTAAAGTGACATTAAACCCTCAGATTTTTTAACATAAAACAATACTGTAATGTGTGCCTTAAGGTCCCCACACACCATGAGTGTGATAAAAAAGGGGGGGGGGGGGGGTGTTTTGGACTCCCAAAATGCATTGGCTACTCTACTTGAATGTCTCCTGACTCTAATAGAATATAAAGTTGTATCTGGACTATTTTAATTGGTGTGGCGCTTTTATTCCTACATCTACTGTGTTCACTGTCAACCCAAGGATAATGTAGAGATCTTATGGATTGTGGAAGCTGCCTACCCGTAACCAGATTACACATATTCACATCACTTAACTACTGTAGATGAGAAACACCAATAAAATAACCACATAGGTCCAGCACCTTCCTTCAACACTTTCAAATAACCATAACTGAAATAATCGTACATAAAACAAGTTCATTTATACCTGATTCATTTTAACACTACAGTCTGAAAGTTCCACCATGTGATGTGACATTCTGTTGTTGTATATGGCCTGCACACAGGAGTCTGCTTCCGTATTATACAGCTGTGAATTATATAAGAAAATAAAATATTTTATATATTTTTATTCTTTAATAACATTGATACTCAATATCCAGTAGGGTTGAGTTAGTAAAGGAGGAGAGAATGTTCCCTTTGCTTACTGAATGTTATGTTAGCTTGCAGAATAAAGTCAAGATATGTTCACCTCAACCGTCCAATCATTTGCAAAGCAATATCCAGTTTTTAAATTTTTAGTTTTTTAAATTCACAAATGCATATGATTGGTTATTCAAGGTGAATGTATCCTCATTTTATTCACTAAGCTACATAAACATTCAGTTTTCTAAGTTCATTTTTTATTTTTTTTTACTTTTAGTAAATCAACCCCATTGCATCGAGAGAATTTAGGGAACATAAACCTTATTATTCAAATGTTAGACATACTGGGGAAGGTTATTTACAAAGTTTACAAGAACTTTATTTACAAATGTACAAAGAACATTGTGCCCTCATCCATCAATTTCATCAGCATTTGTCTTATAACTTGCATTAATCTGTGATAATATCAGGGAACTCCTGCTCTTAGAGGATCAGGTGAGTATAACTTTTTTTTTTTTTTTACTAGACAAAAACAAGCAGTTAATCCTTGCAGTGCGGGGGTAGCCCCACAGCAAGGGATAATAAAAAGTTCTGCTTTCATGTTAATTAATAAATCAAATTATTATTGAAGCATTAAAAGTTAAAAAAAAGGAACTCCATAATCCAACTTTTATAGAAAATATAATGAGAACATAACGAGTTAATAATTTTAAGGGAATAACAAGCAACATCAATGATAAGCTCTCCCTATCTCATTCTTACAGGAATTTTAATGGAACAACAATGATGATGACACTGCAGCAATGATGAACAAAAAACAAAGAACACTGTAAAGGGGAAAGCTTTCCTTAAAGAGTATGTAAACTCTTAACAACTGTCTTAATAATAATAATACTATTATTATTTGTAGGGATGAGCTTTGCATTTTGGTCAAATGTGAGTTTAATTCAAACCGAGCCTGTTCAAAGTTCAGTGAATTGCCAGTTTGCTGGGGTGAATCTCGGTTACTGTTTGTGAACAAACAGGCTGGGGATGTGTCATTTAGCAGTGATAGCACTACAGCCTCCAAATGATAGATTCCCAGGCAGCAAACTAGCCGTGGATCCTGGGTGATGCCATTTACCAAATATGGACGTGACCATTTTTGGTCAATGATGTCACCATCCTCCCACACTGTTTTTTAAAGAGACAATATTCATTAAAAAAGGAGTGTCCCCCCCCCCTTAAAAAAGAGTTAAATATTAACCTTCATAAAATCTTTGACAAACGTAAAGAAAAAGTATAGCTATATCTGCATTTATGTGAAAAAATATCTTTATTTTCCCTCCACTATAAATAATAAAGTATTACCAGGACAGATGATTCCTGCACCGAAACTGAAGTGTTGATCTCTGAATAGATATTTTCTAAAAACCATTGGAACCCTTTGCAGCCAAGTCTCAGTCGCAGTTGTTCACGATCAGTGACATCAATCTTCTTGCTCTACAACAGATTAAAAAGAAAATAACCTTGATTATAAATATCACCACGGGATGAAATAATAGGTAAAAAGTATTAAAGTGCAAATCCAGCCAAAACTGTTAGTGGAGAAGGCCTAGAACCTCTGGGATGGTCTTATTGCTGTATGTGACTCTGTTGGGGAGATTTCAGCTTACAGACCCCAGAATAAGGAAATAGGGGAGAGGGTGTTAGAGCATGAAGGTACAGACAGCTATAAAAACCTTGCAGAGGTTCAAACCTTTCTCTATGTTAATAAAATAAAAGGTTTTAAACAAAGAGCATACATTATACTGACCAGGTTGCTTAAGAGCTCCTTTCCAATGTTCTGATAGAAGACCTCTTTGTATGAATCCATCCATACCTCTGCTATTCGGATTTTGTTTATTAGAATTGCATCATTTTCAGTTCTATTAGTCGTGCTGTGAATCTGAGATAGATGGCCAACTCGTGAACATGGTACGATTTCAACTGAGCCACCACAGAGCCAAACCTGTCAACAAATACACAATAAAACTACACTTAGGCTGATGTCAGGCAGGTGACTTAAGGAAGGGACCCTGGTTGGCCCCAAAATATTGTCCTTCTTTGACCTATGTGACTCTAAGTAAATACATTTTCATTGATTTCTTTGATTTTCATTGACCCTTCTTCCATTGAGGTAATGAGGACATCAGCACGCCAGGGTCCACATTATCAATCCGTCCTTTATTGATGTTAGCTAAATGTGCTATCACAACAGATCGCAATGTTTCAGAACCAGTTTGGCCCTTCCATCAGGCAAAACAATGTCACGTTGTTATGCCTAATGAAGGGCCACTCTGGTTTCTGAAACATTGCAAGCTTTTGTGATAGCAAATTTATCTAACAGCAATAAAGGACGGATTGATAATGTGGACCCTGGTGTGCTGGTGACAGCAATACATCTATTGTCTTTGTAGTGCCATTCGCTGGCCATTTTAGCACCCACTGCAGTTGCAATAAGTGATACGTCAGTCTGAAGAGTGATGGGATATCTTTAACGCTTGACCTTCTTCCATTGGGCAATCTCTAAAGCTCACCATACATGTTACAATCTGTACAACGTCCGTATGGTCTAATATTTACCAAAACTATGTGATTTAAGCACCTGTATGCACTATCCAATCAATTTGTATTCACTACACTTGTATGCAGTTTTTGAACGATCTGAAGAAAGTAGTACAACAAACTGTAACGTGTGTTATGAGCTTTAGGTGGATCAGAATTTAGGGCACCTCACTAAGACATCCGCTATGTGTGATATGGTTCTCAAAAGATGAAAGTGGGACATAATGGATGGTTCAGGCAAATTACCAACCAGCAGTAGAGCAATTTACATGAGGAGCGACACCAAAACATGAGGCAGTGGCGGAAAAGAGAGTGCTGTTGGGGGACGGAGTGGAGACCTGCTGGAGCTGAAGGAGGGCACACCAGTAGATAATTATCATTTTGTGCATAACTGCACATTATGGTAAGAGCCCCCCACCCACCCATTTTAAAACCATACAGTTGTCTCACTTATTAAATTAATTGCAAGCACCTATTATTTTCACAATCAGTTACACAATGCTATGACACTCTTGAGTCCCTATGATCAGTTTAGCTGTCACTTTTCACAAAACCAGCTCTCATTGGGTTAATATTAGTGATGCTCAATCAATTTCCCATCTAACAAGTATTTCTATAATGCTAGCATGGTGATTCTTTTTAAGGTGTCTTTCCAATATTTTCATATTTCCTATGCTTTTATATTCTTTTAGCTAAATCATGACAACTCACCCGGATAGAAAGCTCAATACTTTCGACTCCTGAGTACTCCATGCCTGTATCGAAGGCTCCGATATTCTGGAAGTAGTGACGGTCGACAGCTATTACACTTCCTGGTATTACAGGAGTTCTGGGTGAATATCACACATTATTACACGTTGCACAATATAACACTTACAATCCATACATTATACATTAGGCCAATAGTTAATGAAAATGTAAAATAAATGTTTAGATGTCATCTTATTAATAAATAAAGTGCATTTCCACTTTCACAGGCAGATTTGAGAAAACCCCCACTCTATGTTTGCTATGTGTTCCTATTCACACAGCATACCGAAAAAAGAATAAAAAAAAAGATTTCTTACATTTTAGATATCTCTATTCAGCAGGCCGTTGCAAGCTTCTCTCCCAGATTCAGTAACTATGACTGTCCTAATAGAAAGACTTAGAACAGACTGAGCTCCCCCTCATTAACATACAATGAAAGAACCCAGGCTTCTAAATCTTTAACCCTTTGTTAAGACAGGCTGTGTTTGTCTGCTAAAGTGGAAATACAGTTGAAGGCCAAATTTTGTCTGTTTCCTGCTGGAATTTAATCTATAGGTGGCCCTACCAGCACCATTCGGCATAACAGACTTCAATCTGGAATTTTATGGAGCCAGGTGGAAAATTGTCGGCCGAAAAGTGACAGCTGCCAATCGGCTCTAGTCACTGTCTGAGTATTGTGACAGCTGCCAGAATACAAATAGCCAGTGGGGATCATTCATCCATCCACGCCGTGGGATGAGCAAGAAAAATCTTAGTCTTAAGGTGTATAGTTAGCTTTAGACTTTACATAAATGCAAGGACATGGCTGCCATAAGATGGGCTGAGAATTCTGTCTTAGGTGGCACATTCCTAGGGGTGTCACAAAGCAAGTTTGTAACCCTGGTGTATGCCCAAAATCGACTCTTGATGTGTTCTCTGTACCCACACTTTTATACACTGGGAAAGCCATATGATTTGCAGCGCACTGATTTTGGTTTATCGTAGTCATGGGCTTATTCATTATGAAGCAATAAGTGCAAAGAGCAGTGCTGATGGCCAACGTACAGTAACCCATTGCAAGCAATCAGGTTTCAGTTTCTTGCAGTAGACCATGAGGCCTGGTTCACACCCAGGAGTTCTGTGAACGCGTGACGATGTCTGCGTTTTCGTGCGCAATAGCTGTGCATTTGCAGAATTACACACAAACAATAAACGCGCTTGCGGTGCCTTTCATTTCTAATGGCACCCCAAACGTGGCCAGCAAATCACACGGTTTTCTGCTGTGTTTCTGCGGTGCGCTAAGATGCGCATCTATGGATCGCTCATATGTGAACCAGACCTGAAACAGGATTTTAAATAGTTATTATGGACACATGTACTTTTCATATCACCAATGATCACCCAATCACTATACTGAATAAGACCAAAGGATAACTTTGTAATGTTCTTCTTGGCTAAGTGAAACATTACCTGAATGGAGTGATGGGAGATTGTCGTACCTTCTCTTCACTCTCTGCCAGAGTAACCCAGTGAAAATCAAGTTTCCAATCAAACACTCCATGTCTCAGGTCAGGCGAGTGATAATAGTCGTACATTTTCCAGTCAATGACATCTAGAATAGGCGAAACTATTCTGTTTCTATGAAGCAAAAAAAAAAGAGAATGATATATTTGTGAAGGGATACCATAATGTTTTTGCTTTTAGCCTCGTGTTAGTAAATATAATTTTAGAAAAAAATCTTCAATTTTTATAGACTTTATCTTTTGTATGTTCTCTTTCAAATATTTTATTGTTTTCATCAAGACATATTAAGACATATACATCATAAAACCATACAGTAAAATAACATCCATCTAAGAATGGCATTACTTGTTCGGCCCCTCATATTTCTTAATGTCTATATAAATACATACAGATAACCTTTTAGGAGCAAAAGGAGGACATAACCATTGTGTATAATATTAGGAAGGGTACATTCTTATATTAATATATTTTACCAGTCATTATTTTGGCTTTCCAGCATCTAGCTAACACCTTAGCCCCCTCAATCTAAGGTAGCCCACACACTTTACGATAATCGTACGATAATCGCGGGAAATCCCGCGATCGTACGATTATCGTAAGGTGTGTGGAAGCCGTGCGACCTATACTACTGTATAGTTGCATGACTTTAAACTTACGAACATGTTCGAAAACCCGCCGAGCATCGTACGATGTTAGGCGGGGGTGTAGCATGTTCGTAAGATAAAAGCCGGACGGGCCGGTGTGCACAAGCGGTCATCAGGGGGGCGTGGCTGGCGATCATCACAAGTACGATCTTCCTGTCTACGATAGGCAGATCGTACATTTTTTTAAGTACCTTACAACCATCGCAAGACAAGCGTTTTGCGATGGTTGTAAGGTGTGTGCCCAGCATTATAAAATACTAGGGTTAATTCCGTTGTAAAATAACACATTTCCCTAATGATTTTCCTTTTAAATATGAAGTCATAGAGCCGATCTGCTGCTAAAAATAACTAATGGCCGCCAGATTTTGGCCAGTAAGTAATCCCTGTTTAGATGTTGCTTATAAAAACTAACACAGTAACTTACATAACTAACCTACACAATTACATAAACAAGAAGAAAAGAGGAAGAAAGAGGAAAATAGAAAGGAAAAGGTTCCCCGGTTAGCTATATTTTGAGTGGTTCCCCTCTTTTTGCCCTTTTCTTCTTTCTTTTTCTTTGTCCCCCTCCTCTCCCTTTCTATCTTTTCTATGTTATATAGTTATAAGATACGTCATCTCAGTCCTATCAGAACAGGGATAGATGAATATTCCAATGGGGACCCTGCTGATAACCAGGAATTGCCCTCTTTCTTCTCATTGTGGCTATCAAACAGGAAGTGAAGGGAAATCTCCCCAATAGGACAGAGATGGCAAAAAAAAAAACTGAGAGGGGTTTTCCTGGTCCCGTACTAAAAAAAGTTTTGGCTACAGTGCTACTTTAAAGCCCAACTCTGGGCAAAATATTTTTATTACAAATTTGGGGCCCACAGATGGTGTTTAAAGTTAAAAATGCAGCTCTGGCTCTGTATTTACCTACTCAATGGTACTGCCCCCCGCAGGAAGTGCTTTCTACAACTAGATATCCTTAGTCTTCCAGGTATAGTGATGCCCAGTGTCATTCAACCTCAAAGAAAATCATGTAAGTGCAGGGAGTCATGAACCTGAGTAAACATGCATACACAACAATGGAGAATGGGGTTCTTGCCTACAGTTACTTGCATAGGTCTCACGGAGAGATTCGCCTGTTCGCATGTAATCAGACAAGTTTGCATCCAGGGGCAATCATGTGCAGGTAATGCAGCATGTCAGATTACATGAGAAGAAAAGCAATGACAGCTGACAGTGCCTGCAGCCATTCTTTTGTAATCTGACATGCCGCATTACCTACGGACGATTATTCCTGGATGCAAACTAGTCTGATTACATGCGAACTAGTAAATTGCTCTGTGAGACCAATGTGAACAACTGTAGGCATGAAACCCCTTTTCTTTATTATAGTATATGAGTGTAGGGTGCCATGGTTACCCCCTAAATGATTCCCATAAGTTATGGATCAATTCATGAGACTCACCCAATTGGCCCCATTTGGAAGTATCAAAGGGGCCTTAAAGAGTAACTCCACTTTTATTAAATAATCAATTACTTCTGACTGACGGGACCTTCCTCCACATATGGTGGGAGTGCCCCAAGATCAGGCGGTTCTGGTCTAGGGTGTATCAGCTAATTTACACGGTGACAGGTCGTTCCTTCCGTAAGGATCCAACTGAGGCGTTGCTCGGGAAGAAACCGGGTTCATGATCGTGGACTCAATTTAAACTAGTCACTTATATACTAACAGAAGCCAGGAGAGTGTTTGCACGCTCTTGGCGTACTGCCTCGGTTCCATTTGCAGCAGTCAAACCAAGAGTCTCACAGATTATGTTCCTCGAGAAACTGTCGGCTATCCAGTCAAACTCATTGCCCAAATTCGAAAAAATATGGGAGCCCTGGGTTGCCTCCTATATGCCCCCAAATTTCCATTTGGATTCGCTCAGACCTGTAGCCCCTGTCACCCATCCTGCTTTCTCCCACTCCTCCCTCTCCATCCCCTTTTCTTTGAACTGTGTCTCCTTCACAAGTTTCCTGTGTTCAGGCGAAGCCTGAAAGGTGGTGTGACCACCGAGTTATAGTTTGTAACAGAAGACTACTTAACATACACTGTGTGACTAGCTGTGTACGGTTTATTTCCTGCGACATGCATAACACAGATTGTAATGTGCTTAAGTCCTTCTTGATTTATAGGGTTGTATGTACAGCCTCGATTTCATTGTTTATGATGTTTATGTACGCTGGAATTTCTTTATTTCTTTATTTTGGAAAACAATAAAAACTTTTGAACTAAAATAATCAATTACTTCTGGGTGATCAATGTACATTGCAAGGATTTTAACAAACTGTGAGGCAGTTTCCTACCTGTTTCTGTTCTGAAAACAGCTGTTTGTTGCAGCATGTCCTTTCAAAACAGATTCCCAAATGGGAGAATCTAATTCAGTATAACCACCTGGTTGACTTTCTGTGTTGTAATGAGGAAAGTTGCAGTGTCGGCATTCCTTTAGAGGTGATTCACCTTTAGGGAGTATGTTACCATTGTCACCAAAAAATGAAGTCCCTTTTACAAGGCATGCCTAAAGTCTACTTGTATCTTAGTGTAGTTGTCTGTCAAAATCAATCAGCCAATCACAGAAGCAGGAAGTGACATTTGACAGTGACTGTGCACAGGATACCTCCAGGTCACCCTACTGCATTTCATTTTGACAGTGTTGTCATGTAATATGAGGACCTACCTGATCTATACAATCAATGTGTATCTGATCAGACAGGCCCTTGCTCTACATAATTGTTGGTAGATCTAAAGATTTTACAATCAGATTGTAATGTGTGTGGTGAGTTTTACATAGATATATTAAACATTTCCAAAGTACAATTGCATAGAAAACAAGTATAGTAATACCAAGATACAGAAGAGAGAACTCTGTCTATACAAACCTACAATCATTCTGCAAAAAAAAAGGCTTTTTAGAGGTCTTCAAATAATGAAAAACATGAACCACAAATTTCTACCAAGGCCAGACCCTTAACTACAGTACTTCGTGTGAACAACTATATTTAGAACCTGGAGTTTACTGCTAACATCTGTTTTACGGTATACATTTCAATTAGATAGTAATTAAGTTTCCATGTGAAATATTTGTTAGCGGGAATTGTTAAAATAAAATGATCTAAATATTGTGGTCTTAAAATATGTTGTTGTAGAAAAGTGCGTTCAAGAGGAAAGCTTGAACAAGCAGTGAAGGGGAATCATGATAGAGGCTGCTGCTCCTTCACACTCCAATCACAGGCTGGGGGCGGGGTGGTGACTAGGCGATGTTACCTTAAAGGAGAACTATGGGGTTAAGTCTTTTCCCCATAGTTCTCCTTAGGGTAACAGGAGGACGCAAACCAGCGTCCTCCCGTCACCCTAAGCTCAGTATACCGCGAGCTGTAGCTCACGGTATACTGAGACGCCGCAGCTGAAGCGGATCCCGACAATTGTGCCGGGATCCGCCCAGCTGCGTGACTGACAGCTGGCTCTGCCTATCTAGAGGCAGAGCCAGCTGTACCCTCCCCCGTCCGATCCACCAGTCAGTGCTGGCGGATCGGAGTGGGGAGGGGGAAATCCAGCCCCTCCCCTGTCACGGCAAAGAGCCGTGACAGGATCAAGAGGTGAGCGAACGCCGGTATGTGTTCGCTCACCTCCCGATCTACTGAGCCGACCTGTGACAGTCTCATTGTCACAGGTCGGCTAGAACTATGAGGTGAGTGAAAAGCTTTCACCTCCATAGTTCTCCTTTAACTGCAGCAGAAAAAAGTCAGGTCACCAACTGGCTCTGCTGTCTGGCAGGACAGAAATGCCGATCCTTTGCCAGGTAAATCAGCCCCCACATATGTATCTCAATGGTGTATTTTAATGTTTGCCTGCAGTTTAGACTTGATAAAATAAAGGAACAATCTGATTGGCTGTTATGGGTAACACCTTCTCTCTGACTTTTTTTGACATGATTACACCTAGGTCACATTTTGCAAGTTGGCAGTTGATTTAATGCCATGAAGAAATCGTCTTACCTGTTATTCATTATTCTGCTCAGCAATGGCTCTAGCCAGCCTGGGTGGCATTCACAGTGTGGGTCCATGAAGACGAGAATTTCCCCTGTTGCTCTGGCTGCCCCAAGCATGCGACCTCCTATAACACCAAGCCTTCTGTTGCTTCTTATGAGCTTCACTCCACCAATAAAAGAGATGTATTCACTCAGAGCAGACTTAAGATGACCTGATCATAAGACACAAGCAGAAAATACTGACCAGGGTAGTATGGTATCATGTCCTTACCCTACTTGTGGGTAGAGTTCTGCTTAATTGCATACAGCTGCATTCAATGTAAAGTATCCCTGTCATGAGGGAAATACAGGGGTTGCCATAGAAAATGTTGGTTGTACTTTTGAATCACAAGACTGGAGCAAGCATGTTTTTAACCACTTGAAGACCGGGGTGTTTCACCCCCTTCCTTTCCAGGCCATTTTTCAGTATTCAGCGCTGCGGTACTTTGACTGACATTTATTCTGTCATGCAACGCTGTACTGAAATGAATTTGATTACATTTTTTGGGGGACAGATAGAACTTTCTTTTGGTGGTATTTAATCACCACTGGGGGTTTTATTTTTTACTATATACCAAAAAAAGTACCCTAAATTTTGAAAAAAAGCCTGTTTCCCTATGAAATGTTATGAAACATTTATTATCACCCCAATTTTTTTGACGCCCGATCGCTTGAATGTAAACAGACAACGCTGGCTGTTTACATTGGTAAGAGTTTCCCACTCGTGTGCGCGCTGAGCACCGCACACGAGTGGGGGGAGGGGCAGGACGTGTTAAGACGCCCTCCGGCTCCTAGAAGACTCCCGTCCGGCCGTTCAGGAATGGCCATGGACGGGAGGTGGTTGATAAGTGTCAGAAAATGGCAGACTTCCTTATCTTTTTATCTGTCCTGTATCAGCAGTCCTGAAAGCATTGCAGCCAAAGCATTAGCATGACAGCCAGGGAACTATCATTCTCAAAAGATTAGTTCAGCACTGGCAGCCTGCATGACTCTCTCATGATGCAGTCCCTGTAAGTTCTTTTATTCGGAGGCTCTTTAGCAGGGGGAGGCAACCTTAGGCCCTCCAGCTGTTGTGAAACTACAAATCCCATTAGACATTGCAAGCCTCTGACAGCCACAGGCATGACTACCAGAGGCAGATGCATGATGGGATTTGTTGTTTCACCACAAGTTGAAGGGCCGGAGTTTGCCTACCCCTGCTCTGTAGCATCACAGCATCTACATGAATGCTTACACTAGGGGGCGCCACACAATTATTTTTTTTTGCAGCAATGCCAACTCCTGACTCGCAGATTGTCACCAAAGAGTTAAGCTGGCCATATATTAATATATTTTCTTAATTCAACCTGCAGGCTGAACAGATTCCCCCAACCATGCTAAACAGTGTGGATGGAGGATTCCCCCCTATTCAGGTTATTGTATTCAGACAGCCGGCGCAGGCAGTACCACTTGCCAAACATAATCATCGCAGTCAATGGGACAACACCGGAACCATGTGCCAACTGGTATTGTAATGCAAATCCCCTTTAGGATCCAAGAAAAAAACAGGCATTCAGGAGGTAGCAACATCGCCTACGGACGCCTATGAATCGACTGTCAACCACCCACCAACTGCCCTCTGCAAAGTGATCCGCAGTGGATTGCTTTTCAGAGCGCGGTAAAGTCCGCTGCCCGTGTGCACTTAGCTATAGAGTGCTTTCTAATTCAGGACCAGGAAATATGAATGAGACTGAATGAGGTTTATACATGCAGTTGTTCAGTGCCACGTTACACCAATATGGTTCACTGACTATGTCTGACACTGCAAGCACATTCATTATAACTTCTCCTGCTCGGAGGCCATATATGCTTAAGGCCCCATTCACATGTAGCGACATACCTTTGCAAAGGCCGGGATAGGGTACTTCCTGATTGGTCAAGATGCTGGCCAATCAGGAAGCCGGGCAACGAGTCATTACACGGTGCTCGGCTTCATGATTGGCCGGGAAGCTGGCTCCATGCTACCTTGTCACCAGATGATGAGGGAACATGAAGCCGGCTTTCTGGCCAATCAGAAAGTCGGGGGGCAGGTAATGACTCGTTATCCGGCTTCCTGATTGGCCAGCTTCCTAAACAATCAGGAAGCTAGGCAGCGAGTCATTACACGCTGCCTGGCTTCCTGATTAGCTGGGAAGGCAGCTCCATGCTCCCATGGAGCCGGCTTTCTGGCCTATCAGGAAGCCAGGCAGCGTGTAATGACTCGCTGCCCAGCTTCCTGATACTGGAAGCTCAGGTATCGGGCTAGGCAACGGAGCATTTGGGCGAGTAAGAGTACTCGGCATCAGCACCGATACCTATACTAGTATAGGTATCGGTGCCTCCCTAGTTTGCAGTAATGGTATTCATGTGTCAGATGTGTAATATTTTATTTCCTTATCATTTAAACTAATGATTACAGTACAACGTTGGTTTGAAAGGAAAGTTGTACTGAGAGAGACTCCCGCTGTTGATCACTCCTTTTGAAAATGCCACTTGCCTGGCTGTTATGCTGATCCAAAGGCTTTGCGTTGTTTTTTGAGTAGGCAAATTAGGAACTCTTCGTGACCATTTGTGTCTCCGTACCTGCGGTAGGGTCAGTAATCCTGAATGTACTGAGGCCAGAGATGGCCAGGCAACCAGTATTTTCAGAAAGAGGCCTGCTGCTGAATTTTTAACTTTAAAAAAGTCCTTCTATATCAGATGTTACCTTGATAACTGAGATCGTCTACCAAGATAATCTCCTTCAGCATCTTTCTGGGAGAGTTGTCTAGGATGCTGTGTACTGTCCTCAGCAGTGTGGACCAGGCTTCATTGTGAAAGCAGATAATGACACTGGTTGTAGGGAGATTGTCAGTGTAAATCTGCTGGTGACACCTGTGTGGAGCAAAGAACATGGATTATATTAAAGTATATGTAAATCCAAAACTATTAGAGGGAAGGGTTAAAACAAGAGTCAGGGGGGCTTTTTTGCCATCTATGTCCCATTGGGGAGAATTCCCTTTCACTTCTTGTCTTGTAGACACAACAGGAAATTAGAGGGGAAGCACCTCTTACACAGTTGACAGTGGAGCAAATGTCCCCATTGTTAGATTTCCCCTCTATTTCTGTTCCGGTGACTAAAAGGTTTGTATTTGTCCTCAATAACAATAGAGTGAACCTTCCTAGTGGTGACACAGACAACAATAAAAACTGACAAAGGTTCTAATCCCCCGACTGCTCTATGCAAATCTAAATAAAAAATTTGGATTTAAATACACATAAAAGAAAACATTTTAATAAAACAGAAGTTAGCGATGAAAAAATAATGTCTGTTACTGGTACAAAAATAGTAATATTTGTAATTACTTACAACCAGTAAAAATGATTAGCTTAAAGGAGAACTATGGGGTCAGGGCTTTTCCCCATAGTTCTCCTAAGGGTAACGGGAGGACACAAACTAGCGTCCTCCCGTCACCCAAAGCTCAGTATATAGCGTGATACAGCTCGTGGTATACTGAGACGCCGCAGCCGGGACGGATCCCGACATTACTGTCGAGATCCACCTAGCTGCGTGATTGACAGCTGTCTCTGCCTATCTAGAGGTGGAGCCAACTGTACCCGCCCCCTCCCCCGTCCGTTCCGCCAGTCAGCGCTGGAGGATCAGAGCGGGGAGGGGGGAATCCCTGCAGGGAGCCATGAGTTACAGTCACGGCTCTCTGCAGGGATAGATCGAGAAGTGAGCGAGCGACAGTATGTGTTCGCTCACTTCCCAATCTATTGAGCCGATGTGTGACAGTGTCATTGTCACAGGTCGGCTCGAACTATGAGGCTGAGTGATTTTCACTCACCTCATAGTTCTCCATTTAAAGTAGTAATAAACTTTCAATCTTTTTTTTTCAATAATAAATCCGGAGCAAACAAATATACATTGCGCTGCAAAGTATTTCTTTACATTTTTGCTCAAGTACTTGCAGTCTTCATGTTTCCAAACAACTCCAACTCTCCCAGCTCCACTTCCCTGAACTTCCTGTCTAGTACAAGATCCCAAGGGACAAAGCAGTCTCCAGCCACTGTTCATCTACAAGCTTGGAGAAGGGAGGATGGAGGAGGGGGGGTGTCTTACCTTGCTGTGTCTATGTGTTTGTGGGCTTACTAACACACACAAGAGTGCCACCCTACAACAGGATATGAGGGCCAGTGCTCAGGGGACCAGCCGATTCTGCAGGAAACGAAAACTTTTAAACATCAAGAAGCAGAATCCATTGTAAGTGATTTCATCAGCATAGGAAACAGTGTTAAAACATTTTGACTTTAAAGGAGAACTATGGGGACAGTGTTTTTCCCCATAGTTCTCCTTAGGGTAACGGGAGGACACAAACTAGCGTCCTCCCGTTACCCTAAGCTCAGTATACCTGGTATGTGTTCGCTCACCTCCCGATCTACTGAGCCGACCTGTGACAGTCTCATTGTCACAGGTCGGCTAGAACTATGAGGTGAGTGGAAATCACTCATCTCATAGTTCTCCTTTAATATCACTTTAAGCTACTTTCTTTCAAAGATTTAAAAATCATAAGGATGACATTCAGGATACTGCTAGCAGTCAGCTAAATGGAATTACATTATTATACTTTCAAATATTTCATATATCCTAAAAATTGTGACCGCAATATCTGCTCATTTTTGTTTCTTTTTTTACTGCTAGGGTTTATTTTCTTCTTCATTTGTTGCCCACAGGGCTTCAAGTAATGTTATGGTACATAAATTGTATATTTTCAGAGTATGCAAAAACCAAACGCTGCTAAATATGACCTAAGAAAAGCTAGCAACCCATTAAATACAGAGTTTAGTACATAGATCATTATTTACCTGTAATGTTAAATATTGAAGTGAAGCAAAAGGTAATAGGTGCAATTCCCATATTTCACAAAACACAGGAATCTCCCTATAGGCTACAATTAAATCAAAGCTAACCGTTATAAACAGCCCATTACCTGCTTTGTGGTATAGTAAACGTGCCAAACTTTTTCTTAAGGTGCCCATACACCTTACGAATATCGGCCGATTTTCGTATGCGATCACGTTTTCGTCCGATATTCGTAAGGTTGATGGGCAGTGTACAACGGCAAATACTGTACAATCGATTGACTTTTGACTAACCAGCAAGTTAGAAAACTTCGGTCGATCGTACGATTTTCGCAAGGTTGGTGGCGTTTCCCGACGTCAAAATTCGTAAGATCTACACTGCACATGCGCAGACGAATATACGTGCGGTCGATTACCTCAATTCGTCCTGGTGCTTTCTTCTAATTACCGCTGATCCAACCTTGTGATAATCGGAGCAGGATGGGGCCGCCGTATGAAAATCGCGTCGTCCGATGATCGCAAGGTGTATGGGCAGCCTAAAGCTCAGTGAGAGATTCAATGAGGGTGGGGATGACTAAAGGCAAATAGGCTGTTTACTTTGGTGGAGGGGAATTTGCAATTTTCAGGGGACGTTTCCCCTTAGCTTGATGAATGTTGTGAAATTTCACTTTGGAAAGAAAACCCAATCAAGCAAAAAGAAATGTTTAAAAACAGTATTTTTGCTTGTACATGGTTGGATGAGGGAAGTCATCAGAGCTTTACCTCATTCACTAAGCTAAGAGAATTCCCTTGCAAAGTGTAAATTTCCCTGCAAAGTGAACAGCTCATTTGCCTTCAGTAAATTAACTCCAGTGGTTCATTACCCAAATACCATCAAGGGGTAAGTGCAATCTTTACCAGTCCACCATACTTCTTCCAACACAATTCTTCCACTCTATTTTGCACATTCAAGTGATTTATAAATCTGTTGGCTCGTACATTACAGGATTGTGCCAGATGTCACTTGTTGTTGGGCTGATTTAATAACTGTGTGAATATTAAAGTAGTATTGAACTCCCAATCTTTTTTTCAATAATGAATTCAGAACAAACAAATATACATTTCCCAGCAAAGTATTTCTTGCCCAAGCACTTAGTCATCATGTTTGCTAACAGCTCCAACTCTCTGAGCTCAGCTTCCCTGAACTTTCTGTCCAGTACAAGATCACAAGGGACAGAGCAGTCTCCAGTAGTTGTACGTCTAATAGCTTTAAAAAGGGAGGGAAGAAGGAGGAGGGAGAGCAGCGAACAGGGCAGTGTCTTGCTTTGCTGTGTCTTTGTGTTTGTGGAGACACACACAGTTTACTAGTACACATAAGGGTGGCTCCATAGGACCCTGTAAGGGAAAGGAGCCACCCTATAACAGGATATCAGGGCCAGTGCTCAGGGCACCAGCTGATTTTGCAGGAAACTAAAAAAATTTAACATCAAGGAGCAGCATCCATTGTAAGTCATTTAGTCAGCATTTGAATTAGCTTAAAAAACCTTTTAACTTTAATATCACTTTATGATCCAGTTATGTGTTGTGTCTGCATTTCAGTACTGTGATTTACTAAATGAAATGGAGGAATTATTGGAAGTATGGCATTTGAAGATATACAAGTTAGGATTCTTTATTTATTTTATAATTAATGTTGCCTCTAGAGGCACAGTGTACAGGTCATGGCTGAAATGATATTTTACATGAGCAAAGCCATGAATAATACCACTAAACCAAAATTACAACTTGGTAGATATAAAAGAGCTTCTAATAACATTCATGAATATTTTTATTAAAGTTTTGTGAACTCATCAGAACGGAATATGTTTGAGGCAGACATTCCTTAAAGCTGAACTCCATATATAAATATTTATATACTGTATACTTCTATTGGTCCAGCTTGGCCTGGAACAGTCATGGGGACCCTGCAAAACACTGTAGTAGCTGCAGTTACTACAGTGCTTTAGGCCTGGTTCACACCTGAACGTTTTGTAGCGTGTTCAACGCTCGAACGCTCTACAAAACGCTCAAACATCTAAATCCCATTGTATTCAATGGGTCTGGTTCACACCTTACCGTATTTCCGCCCGTCCGAACGCGATACAAAACAGCCTACGCCCAAAGAAGTACATGTACTTCTTTGGGGCGTTTTGGTCTCGCGTTTCCATTGGGATACAGCCAAGTAGCCCTCGGAAACGCGCGATGGTTGCGCGTTTTGTTAACCGCGAATCGCTGTAAAAACGCGCGACGCGAAATGCGCGACTAACGCGCATATACAATACGCCTAGGTGTGAACCCAGCCTTACAGCGATCCTCCAGGTCCTGTACTGCGACTGTGCCAAGAGAATACCCCTCTGCTGTGAAAACACAGGGAGTCACTTGCTCAGCACAGCGCCCATTCTATGTAAAGCCCCGGCATATTCTATCCTGTTATGACATCAGCACTGTAATGGGAATACATATTAGAAATGTTTCTGATAATGCAATCAAAGCTTACTTGAAAAATCCATTTTATGTAGTGAGTGCTGCCTTCTGTCTGCCCATCACTTTCACCAACTTCCTGGGTTCCCAGTGTGCTTTGCATCTCTATGAGGCGAGTGATTTCTACTCATCCTCATAGAGCCGACCTCTGACAAAGAAGCTGTCACAGGTCGGCTCTATCGATCGGGAAGTGAGCAGAAACATGCACCAATCCGCTCACTTCCCCATCAACTCCCTGCAGTGAGCGGTGACTGTCAGTCATCACTCCCCGCAGGGAAACACCCCCCCCCCTCTCTGATCCCCCAGCGCTGAGTGGAGGAACGAACCGGAGAGAGGGCTCTAGATAGGCAGAGCAAGCTGTCACTCACGCAGCTGGGTGGATCGGGACAGTGTTGTCGGGATCCGCCCCAGCTGCGCTGCTCTCAGTATATCGCGAGGAATAGCCCGCGGAATACTGAGCTTTGGGTCACGGGAGGATGCTAGTTTATATCCTCCTGTGACCCTAAAGAGAACTATGGGGAAAAACACTTACCCAATAGTTCTCTTTTAAGGATCTGTGAGTGTTGAGACACAAGGAAGTGCGTATTCACAGGGCTGAGTGAAATTGTGCATTGTGAAAGTATATCCTATTCAATAAGTAAGTTTTAAACTTCTAGATCAATATGATTATTAGGAGTAGGATAGAAGTTTGGAAATTCAATATAGAAATACAGATTTTATGTTGGTTATGACCATAGATACCCTCTTACAGTTAACCTAATTCTAGCACTTTAACTCCTCTAACCTTAACCCTTACACCCTGACCCTACAGTACTTTGAATCAGAACTCCAGGTAAAAATAACAAGATAAAAATGAACAGCTCATTAAATAATAACATAAATATCAAACCAGCTTTTTCTGTAATAACTCGAATTCAGAGATTTACCCCCGCAGTACTTATTTTCTGTCACTAGATGTCCTCAGTCTGATGGCCGGCATCATTCAACCCACTTCCTCTGTGACCAGATTGTTCTGGACCCACTCCCAGTCTGTGGCTGGGCGTGAAAGGAGACGCAGTACAGTGATGAGCTCATGTCTCTGTTACACTGCTCTCTAATACTATCAACATGTTGTTTGTCATCATGTGAATGGATCACATGGGGAATCAAGGATAACAGAGCTGTATGAATGTGTGTCTTTTATTTGAATTCAGTTTAAAAATGTAACAAAACCTAAGAACAAAATGCAATATATTGCAGCTTACCAGTATTTAGATGTGGTGGCTGCATTCATTTTCTTTTTTCTGTTAATGATATTTTCTGCAAGTACAGAAACATAACTCTTGATCCTGCAAACAGTCTAGTACCCTTTTAACTTCCTGTGCACTGAAATTAAATTTAAAATGATCGTATCATCCTTCCCAGTCATGTTATGTGGACTATAACATGTTATAGAGAAGAGGAGAGGGAGGTGTTTTGTAATCCTGTCCTAGGTAAAATTGCTGCTCCTTCTTAGATACCGATTGCATGATCACCAGATGAAAATAAAGGAATAATAGCCAGAAAAGGAAAACTAATGCTTCAATATATTACATTTTTGGCTTTGGGTTCAGATACACTTTAATGGAAACCTGTATTGAAAAGAATATATAGTTTAAGATTGTTGACCTTCTATAAATTCTAGTTGCTTGGCTGTCTTCAGCTTCAATGCCTTCTGGGTCACTGACTTTGTATAGTTATTCATCAGATTAAGTCACTCCTGATCTGCATAATCCAGGTCAGTGACTCACAAACCAATTCAGCGGATCAGTATGACAGTTATGGAAGTAGCATTTACAGAATTCAAGGTCAACAATGGCACAGATTTCCTTATCCATATACAGGATTTATAAAGAGCCAACAGTCTGCGCAGCACCTTACAATATAAGTCGGCACACTGGTGTAGTGGTTATTGCATCTGCCTTGCAGCACTGGGGGTCCCAGGTCTGAATCTTGGCCAGGTCACTTTCCTCCCTTGCTCCGAAGACTATTACTTTCTCACACAACTCATTCCCACACAGCTACCACCTTTTGTATAGCTTGCCCCTCCCCTTTTAGTTAGCAAGCTCTCACAGGTAGGGCCCTCCTGAATTGTATTGTAACTGTCTTCCTTATTTATTACAGGTATTTATATAGCGCCAACAATTTTTAGGGAGTGCTTTACGTAGTGCACATTCACATCGGTCCCTGCCCTCAAGGAGCTTACAATCTAAGGTCCCTATCACACATGCATACATACAGGGCCACATTAGACAGGAGGCAATTAACCTTCCAACATGGTAAGTTAATACTTCTAGGTTCATTTGATTTGTTAGCAGGGCAATGCCTATAATGAGTATAATGAGGCAGCCTGAGGTGGCTGCGGTTGCCTCAGAAGGCATCTCATTGGGTCATTTGGTCACGTGTGTCTGACGCCCACTGTCTGGCCAGTGTCCCAGTTTGCTAAGAGCTCCTATCAACCTGTGACACTCTGTCCGGCATCCTGCCAAGTTCACTGATGTCACTGGTCGCCAGGAGCTGTGCGGGATGCTCTGGCTTGTGTCCCACCCAGCTCCTGGCAACCAGTGACGTCAGTAAGCTGGACGTGATGCCAGACAGAGCCAGAGCCAGTGCATCACCGCCGCCAGAGGTGCCGTGCAACATTAACATCCCCAGTAACATGCACTCCCAGCAATCCCCTTTACCACCACCCATCCCCTCCCTGGACTGTGTATCACCAGCGTACCCCCTCCCAGGCAGTGAAATATGTAGGGACACCCCTGTTAGTTCTCTTTACTGCAGTATAGAGTTGTAGTAGGTCTATACTGCAGACACATACAAGGTATTCTCCTTCTGCTTTTGCAGAACTGCAGCCTCAGCATTACATCAAGACTGCCATGTCCACAGAAACCAGCATGTCTTTGACCCACATCCCACAGAAGCTTTGGCTTCTATGTAGCATTATCCCCAGATCACCCTTATCAATACTCACAATGGATGGCGACCTTCAGGTACTGCTCGGTGTAGAGGGATTTTCTGGCTCCCATTCTCATTAAACTCCTGTCTGTTCCTTCCCTGCTCAGTATGCTCGTTCTGGGCTTCAATATCAACTTCATTCTTCCTCTTGGAATGCTTCACTATCTTGTAGATGTTTCTCCGGATCTTCTCAAGGTTATTTCCATGTTCGGGAATCCCAATGGCTATTAGCTCCTCATCCCTCAGAGAAGACAGCGGGGACAGGAGCTCCACTTTATACTGGTTGGAATCTTCGGACTGCTCCAATAAAGAGCTACCTGCCCATCTCTGCCCAGTGCCATGGTGCTGGTACACATAGCCAGAGCTGTCCTCACTCTGTACCTCTGGGTCTAGAATGGCCACCATCACCAACAGTAGAACCAATGCCAAGAGTAGCACCAGGACCTGCAGCTGGCACAGCAGGGATCTGCACCTCTTCCTCAACAACATGTTTTTGGTTGCACAGTAAGGCACACACCGTCATGGTATTCACAATTATCTTCATTCCAGATCAGTTTCCCTCACATGTATTTTCCCACACAGGTCCGGCTTTCCTCTTTGCATTCCACTTGCACGCTCCTACTGTGTATATTTTCTTTTCTTCTTTTTTTTTTCCTCTCTCCTCTAAACCAACCAGCCCTCTGCAGATAAATTCCTTCCAGTCAATGTAAGGAAATATATAGGATAAACAAACAAGTCACCGTAATCCCTTGGATTTCTTCAGGATAAAAAGTATTCAATGAAATGCCACATGGTAGTAATAAAATATTTCCTCCCCTCTAAATGTCATCTTACAGAATGGGCTTTCAATGCCTTGTGCTGGTGAGCTGTTATCATTTCATCCCAGTTGATCGTAGGGAAATAAGCACAGATGTGTGATCTCTGCACTGTTGTGATACTGCACTGAGATCTGATGAACAGATGTACTGTAAATAGGCAGCAACACTGCCTCGCCTTCACACACAAGTTCAGCACTGCCAGATACTTCTGCACAATGCAGCCTGGTCCTAATGCCCACTGTGTATTCCTATAATGTGACTAAAGCAATCAGAAAGCCCTCACTCTAATCAGTGTGTAGCACAGCGTTCCTAAAGGTAAACTCTACTTAAAAAAAATAAAAATAAATGCACACATCATCTTAAAATATAAAATGTGCATTTATAATTTTTTTTGTGTTGGAGCCAGTAGAGCATTGCAACTACAATCAGTGGATCGCGGGTGCAGTGCTTTGGCTCCTGTAGATTCTCCCTCCCGTCCATGGCTATACCAAGCTATGGACATTCAGTAACATAGACGGGAGGCAGAATGAATGGACTATAAGTGCAGTGATGTTGCCACACTTAATGTACATTTCACTGAGACTGTTCCTCTGCTGTGGTGGTTGATGGATGTCAAAGTATCTGTAAATGGATGACATAAGGTGTGCGTGGCTACGCCATTTTCCAAAAAATCACAGCGGTCTCTGAGGACTGCCCCGGGCGCCCATAACTCTGGTTACGCCACTGGGTGCATCCCTAATAAAAACCCTGTGATTCAGGTAAGTAGGGGTGCGGGAGGGTTGCGATGTGACCAGCAGTCTCACCAGGCTGAGTGTCGCCCAGTGCACACGTCATTACGTATACATGTGACATCATTACAAATGCGTGTAATGACCTCACGTGCACTTTTCTGCCGGCATCCATCACCAAAGAGAGGAGGGGATTTCATCCGACGGGATAAGGTATGCCGCTGGGTCCCTTCCTCTATGATGCAGCTGTTGGGCTCTCATGACCAAGTGCCCAACTTTTCAGAGGGGGTGGCATCAAAACGACTATCAGTCATTTTGGTATCACCACCTCTGATGACGTGACCTGGTCCGGGCTGCACCTCCTTGTGACACCACTGGATGTGACCATGTTTTATGCTACACCCAGAATATGGGTGTAACATGAAACATTGTCAGAAAGGTAGAAGCTTAGCCTTTAAAACAGAAGGTATTGCTGTTATATATATGGACTAAAGTAATTGGTCAAATGCATGTCTTGATCAATGGTCCTTCTCTGTAGGCAGGGCCATCCCTATAATGAGGCAGCCTAAAGGCATTTCTTTGGGACATGCGGGGCAAGGGTAACAGGTGCGCCTGCCACCCCCTTTCCAGCCTGAGCTGGAAAAAAGTAAAAAAGAAGGTATTGACATCTCTTCATTCACATGCACTGCATCCCAACAAGAAGTTGATTATTTCTCATTTGAGGACAGTGGGCTTTTAAGAAGTTTTTACTGTGCTGCACACTGATTGGGTTGGAGGGCTTTTTGATTGCTTTAATCCGTTCTCACCATAATCTGTATGGTTATACTGTCCTGTTGAGTCTCATACACTACTCCATAGAAGCCATGCTTTCCATACATTGCACTAATGATGGCTAATAGACATGTGCGATTCGTTTAGTTCCGAATCGAAAATTTGGACGAATTTTCGGAAATTCGGACATTCGGATGTATCCGAATTCCGAATTACAGACATAACGAATGCAAACGAATCCGAATTTCCATTTCCGAAATTCGGTAGCGGTAGTTCGAACGTTCGTTTCGTATTCTGTTCTTATTTGTTTCTTATTCGTTTCGTTCGTTGGAGCAAAGTGACATTAGAGAAGGAGAAAAATATTTTTTCCCCCTCGAATGTCACGAACGAACGAAACGAATAAGAAACGAATAAGAAACAAATAAGAACAGAATAAGAAAATGAAACAAACGTTCGACCTAACTCTACCGAATTTCGTCCGAATCCGAATTCCGAATCCGAATTGACTTTCACACCCGAATCCCGAAAAACGAAATAACACAAATCCGAATTTAAAACGAAACGATTTTTTTTGGCAGTGCACATGTCTAATGGCTAACAAGCATGAAACAGCTGTATGCAGTTTGGAATAAATGGCACTATAATAGTAGGCTACATTTGAACTATACGCCAGCGGTTCGGGATGTGCAGCTGGTCAATGGGGTGTAAAGCAATGATTTCCATTACTATGCCCGCTGTCCCAGAATGAGGAATAATCCTCTTTTTTTGGGAATATGAGATGGACCGTTAATGTGCAATGGCTACCTCTATAACTTAAATGATACTTATACGCTATGTTGGTGTTTGTATTTATAAAATGTATGTCTGGAAATGATAAGCATTTATTTTAATTTCTTTATTTTTTTCTTTGCTGTCTGCATCTTAGTGGCGCTAATCCCCTTCACTTCCTGTCTTGGAGACACAATAGGCGGTGAGAGGAAATAGGGAGGATACATCCCCTCTTAGATAGATGACATGGAAACAGGTGCCCCCATCAAAAGATTTTCCCTCACGTCCTGTTCCACTGACAACTGCAAAATTTTGCGTTGCCTGTAATTTTCTGTCCAGATGACAATGGTCACCAGGGCTAAGAGGAAAGGTAACTCTCTCCAGATGGGCCACCGGCAACAATAAAAAAAAAAGCTGACAGGGATTCTGATTTTGAACCTTCCCTCTGCATCTAAAAAAAAACAACAAGCTGACTCTGCTGCTTCAGTACTTTAAGGGCACATTCACACTTTTCTGTTGCGTTGCAGTAACATTGCGTGTGTTAGTGGATTGCAGTGCTGTTCAATTTTAAAGGCAATGCAGGTCCAATGCACGTGTTCTGTGGAGCACCACAATACACGATAACACACCACCATGCTATATGGTGTGCTCTGTTGCCAAAAATGGTCCATTGTTTTGGAACATCGTGGTGCGTTGACAGCCTATTCATTAGAATGGGCTGCCCTAATGCAAAACATGTTACCGCACATACATGTTAACACAACGCACTGCAAAAGTGTGAATAGACCTTTCTTTGACTGTCCTGATCTATATACAGTATATGTTTCAAGTCAGTGTCTCATAAAGTATTGACAGCTGGCCGGTGGTATATTTAGGTTTCGTGCTGCCCTGGGCAAGATGAAACTCGGCAAACTCCCCCATCTTAGTTTGTCCCACCCCCTTCCTGTTCCAGACATTTTGTGTAATCTGTAAGTCGCTGGATACAGCTTCTGACAGGTTATGCTATTAGTGTTGCAGGGAAGCCGGGGTCTCAGGTGGGCTGTAAAGGAACTCTGCTGGGCTTTGCAGGGTCTCAGACTGAGACTGCCAAAGACACTGCACAACCCACCATAGACCTTGTACAGCCCACCTGAGTCCCTGTAAACCCCACCAGAGCCCCCGCAGAGCCCACCATAGACCTTGTACAGCTCACCTGAGTCCCTGTAAACCCCACCAGAGACCCCGCAGAGCCCACCATAGACATTGTACAGCTCACCATAGAGCCTGCACAGAGACCCTCAGGTGGGCTGTGCAGGATCTATGATGGGCTGTGCAGTGTCCCTTTCCCTTCACATGTGCTGCTCCTCTTACCGGCAGCTCCCCAGGCTGCTTCCAGGACATGCCGCTTCTTCCACCAGCTGCTGAAGCTTCTTCCTCAAACCGCCCGCAGTCTCCGCCAGCCGGGCAGCATCTCCCTTGGCCCCGGCCACACCTCCGCCTCCTCTTTCACCCGGCAGCTCGCTGCCAGGCCCCACCAGCAGCCACCTGATTAGGCAGCTGAGTCTGCCCAAATTTGTGCAGCCGTTGCCTGGTTTCCTCTTTGCAGGGGGAGAAAAATGCCCCCCTGCAAAGTGCCGCTCCAGGCAAACGCCTTGTTTGCCTCGCGGTAAATATGCCTCTGCAGCTGGCTAGCATAACAGCGAGTGAGTTATTTTCAAAGAAGTTCAGCAGTGGCAGCCATCTGTATTTATCATGACAGCTATGCTTTAAAATCTGACACAAAGATACAGACTTATTTAATAAGGCAGAAAGTATTGCACAAAGTGTAATAACATACATGAGTCAATACCTTTTAATTATCTACAGCTTCATTTTGAATTTGACTGCTTGCCCTGAACCGCTGCACTTCGCACTTCATTATTGCACATAGATCTATCATATTAAATAAACCCAGCAGAGCACAATGTCAGAATAGTCAAGCAATGATCTCATGGTTAAGCTGAATGTGGGCGTGCAACTGAAATCTAATCTAGCAGCTCCCAGTCTTGGAGCAAATGGGGGTTCAGAATGTTGACTTTTATATTACAACAGAAGGGTCTAAAACATGGTAAACATATTGGAATAATGCAAGGAATGGTAGCAGCCAAATAGAATGACACAATGTATAACTTTTTCAGTAAGACAAGGTTAAAGAAGACCTGTATTGTGGAAGCTGTGCCCTGAAAGGGCAAGAAAGGGTAAAATGACTAGATACCAGTATTGCCTGTGGCCTCCTTGCATCTGATCTTCTCCCCATTACTTATTCACCATGCCTTGTTCTGCACTGTATCTCTGTGCGGAGATGGCCATCTTAATAAAGGCAGGGCTGTGCTTCCTCATGTCAGAGCTGCTCTCTGATGGCTAGTAATCTAAAGTATGGTGATTTATGACTGGAGGGGTATTGATAAAAAAAAGCAGCCATGTTCCAGCACCGGGGTTTTCCCTCTGTTCGAGGTGCTTAGCTTCCAGCCGATTGCAGGACGCATGTCTGCAGCCAATCCACTCTCAGCCCCTTTTTCTTAGAGCTAGCACACCTGTTGCTTGGGGTTCGAGGAACGTATCGGTTCACTACCTGTCGACCCCCCCTGTGTTTCCTAAATTGCATTGTGCTTTCCCCGGACTCCTCTGCATTCCTAGCCTGCTTCTGCATTTATCCCAAAATACTTATTTGTGCCTTCCTGGACTCCTCTGCACTGCTAGCTTGCGTCTTTGTCTATCCCAAGAGACTCCTTTGTGCCTTCGTGGAGTTCTCTACACTCCTAGTGTGCTTCTGCGTTCATCCATTAATACTCCCTGCATTTCAGAACTCCTGAGCACTGTTCC